TCATGAATCACAACTTTGTGGTTGTGAATACAGAAAAGTAAATAATCTAGAAAACTTCAGTCTTTTAGGAGAGTTAAATCATAATATGACCATGTCCTGGCTTGAAAGATGTGTTCCTTTGCATCTTCATTTCACTTGGTTTATTATTAACTCAAAATCTGCAGCCACAGAAAATATTCTCTAGGCACAAAATAGAGAAGGCTGAAATGAATGCGACTTGAATGCTTAACTGTGGGTGAACGTGCATTTCAACAGAATTTAGGCATGTTTTTTCTGGATGTACCCTCAGTAATGCTCCCCCAAATACTTCTTTGTAAAGTGTATTAATTTACAAAGGTCTGGTTTCTGCTTAAATTGAACAGGAGATTAGCATCTTATGTTACATGATGTGCCCAGCTGCTAAAATGTAATTCATACCAAATAAAGCAGTTTGTGGCCAAGTGTCTTACATATTTTATCTTACAAAACTTTTGTATTTTCAAACTTTTAGTTTCAGTTTAAATTTTACAGATTATCACCTGGGTGTTAAAATCTGTAGACTGGTTTGTGCTATTGTAGCTGCAGAAGCAACTCGTGTGAGGCAAATGTATGAAGTCTGTTTTGCTATGGTGCCTGTTATTTGCAATCTGGTTATGGAAAGTTACTGCTATCAACGAGATGTACAAGTTTGTGCTGCTCCTTAAGTGAAATACTAGCTGGACTTTTGAGCACCGCCTCTGCTCTGCTCCCTTCTGTATACTGTGGAACTGCATTATGTTGTGATGCTATGCCACATCTGGAAATGGTGGCTCATGCTAGCTCAGTGGCAGTGACTAATTTTGGTATATTTGTACAAATGTGGAGAGAAATCAGGAAAAAAATAATTCTTAATGTTTGGCTCATTGAGGTAATTTCTAGGAGACAGATCTACATAAATATTTTTATTCTAATCTAGCCCAGACTGCAAGATATTTACAACTTGTAGATACTTAAACTGGAATAGAATCCAATTACTTGGCAGTGTAGGGAGGCCAAACTGAATAAAGTACTGCACGCAATTAAAGCAACTACAATATTTGGCTACCATTCTGTGGCTCCTCTGCTTTTTAGCTTCTGGAAGAAGCAGCTTGTGCAGTCACAGGTGGCTAGAGCCTCCATTTCCTTATTTATCACCTTGGTCCAGAAATGTGACTTCACCAGGTTCTGCCAGCAAGAAAAGGGTCCCCAGTGCCATCATCATTACCTTCGGTGACAGCAGCAGCTGACATATTCTACTAAAGGTTCCTGGTGAACTTGTGGAAGTAGGACCCCCCCCGCGCCTTTGTTCACTGGCATTTTATTTGCCCTGCTTATCTTGTTCTCTTTATAGCACTACACTACAATTCTCTGTGTAGTTAAGTAACAATTTGCACACATTGCATATATAAAAAAGCAGCCAGTAGTGTTCTGTTCAATGCAACTGCTACCCAGCATGCTGTTTTGGACATTGTTCCTCAGATTCTTTCAGAATGTCCCTATTGGCTGGGATTCAATCACATACTGCCAGGTTCAGGTTGCACAATTAAAGTTTATTCGGCACTCTTGTGCATTGTTTTCTCCTGGTCTAAACCCAGAAATTGATTGCATGAAGGGTCTGTGCCCACCTGAGGAATTTTTATTTTTATTATTATTATTACAGCTACAAGACACTCCTCAACACACTCTGCCCGTGTCGTGAGTGCTTTGAGCATCCATAAATGACCAGGTTCAAAGGCGGCAACCCTACGGGAAGGACGGTTACCAACCTGTGCAACTGCTTGCCAAGTTGATGCTGTAACAATTAGAAGGCAACGGAGCCTTCTGAGAGTTGTTGGGGACGGGAGCCAAAAGGGGTGTGTGAATCTGAGCAAAGCACTATGAAGCGTGTGGGCAAATGGGAAAATAAAAAAGTGCTACGGAGAGTCGGAGGCTGCGCCCTGGCGGCTCTTGTAAAAAGAAAACATTTCCTGAAGATGCAAGGTGGCAGCTTCGTTTCGTGTTCCCATGAAGAAACGGACTCCAAAATGTATTCTAAAGTGAAGTCTTATGCCCTGGCTCTTCACAGCAGTGCATCATTTGCCCTTTCCCTCTTTTAGCCCCTTGACTTTAGAATCCTAGAAACTTGGGGTGGTTCTGGTCATCCGTGCGCCCGCGCGGGCGGTTTCACGTTGCCTTTTAAGTCCACCTGGAGCTCCTCAAGAGAGTTGGCTGCAGGGTTAGGGGACGGCGAAGGAGCGCCAGCTGCCTTGGGCACGGCCAAATAAAAAAAAAGAACAAGGGGGTCGGCGAGTTAAAACAAGGCGGCGCTTGCCCTCAGGGCGCCGGGCTGCGGGAGGGCGGGTGGTGAGGCGACGGCGGGGAAGGTAAGAAGGTGGGTGGCTGACTCGTCGTCGCTAAGAGCGAGCAATCCGCGCCCAGCTTCGTCGCGGCCCTGCCTTCGTGAGCCTGGCAGAGCAGGACGGAGGAGCCGCCCAGCGCGGCGGCTGCCCTAGAGGGGAAAAGGCGGAGGCGGGAAGGAGAGCAGCATGGCGTGTTACAGCGGGGAATACGTGGTAAGGGGGCCACCACTCGCAGCCGGCAGGGCGCTCAGCCTGAGGGGAGTCGGGGGGCGGGAAGGCGGCGGCGCCGACAACCTTAGTGGCGGGAAGTTTCCTGAGGGGAGAAAAAGGCGCTTTCGGCTGCCGCTGCTCCTCCTCCTGCTGTTTCCAGGCGACCTCCGCCTGCTCCCAACGGCCCCCGACGAGGCGGTCGAGATACCCCGCCAAAACTTTCCACTTGAAATTCACTTTTCTTCCTCAAGACTCCCATGGCGGCGCGTTTCCCGTGGGCTCTGCCGCCTCCTAGGCCGACAGGTGCATTGCTTTTATCTCTCCCGGAGTGAGGAGGCCTCCTTCCACGCTTATCTTTTTGTCACCACAAACGGCACATATTAAGGGGCCGCCACAGGAAATAAAGCGCGAGGGGGTAAAGGTTCAGAGCATTTCTGATCTGGGCAAACTTCTGTGACGGTTCTCCCTCAGGAATGGTTCCACAATAGTGTTCCTCTCTGGAATCTGGCAGTGCAGAAAAATGGCAAATCTGCCCTGAAAGCATTCTCTAATGAAAGGAAGTAAATCAAAATAAATAAATGTCACGTAGCTGCTGGCTGTGTGTTTTTATACTGTGCCAGCAAAATCAGCCCTGGTTTTATCTGTCCCAGAGGAAGCTATCTTTGGAGTGTTTTGTTTTGTTTTTTTTGTTTGGCACCATATATTCGGGAAACATGGGGGAAGATAGATGCCGCCTGCAAATGATGTTGATGCAGGTAGCGAAGTTTTCATGACATGTAATCAGATCATAGTGTAAACACACCCATCTGAGAAATACTACATACCTCTGTGCAGTCATGGGTTTTCATACTAAAGTGAATGTAAATGTGTTTGTATTTGCCTAGAATGGAAAAATAAAGTTAATTAAACTGTACTGTGAGATAAAGTTTCAGAGAAACATAATATCCATACAGTAGTTTACATTGTTGGGTATTGCCCAGTGAACAGGAGCTCAGAACCAGAGTGTGGAAATAGATGTGCCAACACAAGTTCAGTTTCCCATTTAGGTATGTCTATACAGTACACCCGGAACGCGGGTGGCGCTGTGGGTAAAAGCCTCAGCGCCTAGGGCTTGCCGATTGAAAGGTCGTGGTTCGAATCCCCGTGGCGGGGTGCGCTCCCACTGCTCGGTCCCAGCGCCTGCCAACCTAGCAGTTCGAAAGCACCCCCGGGTGCAAGTAGATAAATAGGGACCGCTTACTGGCGGGAAGGTAAACCAGAGTTTCTGTGTGCTGCGCTGGCTCGCCAGATGCAGCTTTGTCACGCTGGCTACGTGACCCGGAAGTGTCTCCGGACAGCGCTGGCCCCCGGCCTCTTGAGTGAGATGGGCGCAATACCCCAGAGTCTGTCAAGACTGGCCCGTACGGGCAGGGGTACCTTTACCTTTACCTATACAGTATACACATGACCGGAAGCTGTACGACGACTCCCAATAAAGTGAGATGAGCGCCGCAACCCCAGAGTTGGCCATGACTGGACCTAATGGTCAGGGGTCCCTTTACCTTTACCTTTATACAGTATACAAGAGTGAGAAAACTAAAAGAGAAAATTTGTGCTGCCATTACTCCTGTCAGGCCTTGTGACCTGTAATATTTCCCCACATCTTCAGAGAGGTAGGATACTACCATGGATTGAAGGCAGGCACTGGATGAATTGTGAGAAATGAATTTGTGAAGTGAATGGCCCTTATAGACACACCTTTTGTCTCTGGGTATTTATACCTGCTAACTACTACACCTATCAGAATTTTCCCAGGTATTTCATTACTTAGAGATAATGCATGCTTTTAATAGAGTGGTGATTGGCACATTATGCAGAGACTAAACTAAAGTCAGTGGCAGAGATTACCACACAAGAAGACATGTTGGCTACATAAACTTGTCTGTGCTCTGCCTCCACAGTTGGTGGAATGCCAGTTGCTTGAAACTACAGGACGGGAGAGTACAGTACTCTTGTGTTTGAATCCAGATTGCCGGTTTCCCATGGGCATTTGGCTGGCCACTGTGAGAACAGGATGCTGGACTAGTTGGGCCGTTGGACTGATCCAGCAGGCTCTTCTTATGTTCTCTAATTTTTAATGCAGCGTAATCACATCTGAACATGCATTGTGAGGTTTCACTAAATGCACAGAAGGTGGAGAGCTTAAAAGCTCTTTTTGTGCAAGGCTTTTCCAGCATGGAATACTCTCACAAGATCTCGCTTAAAAGCGCTCTGCCTTGCTTGGGCAATGCCAACTTGGCATGTGGCTCCAAAAAGGTAAGAACACTCACACAGGGGCCATTTTCCAAAGGGGTGGGTCAAATATAAACATTTTTGCATATATGTGCCATCCCCAGAACCTGACCCCCATGCAAGACACAGTCATACTGTATATCCATTATATAATTGCATCATTATATATATTTAAAATTCCAGGTTTCTGAAGATGGGTTACCTGAACCAAGAAAGTGGAGACCATTGATGTATAGGAAATGCACAGACCCCATTTGGTTGATGATATTCTTTCTCTTTTGGTCAGGTTTGGTAAGTACCATAGTATTCCTGATGAAATGGGTGGTATCCAATGAAACAGTTCTGCTAGCACAACTACTTTTGGCTACACAATGGAACTTCCCCTCCATCTTCTCTCCCTGTTCACCCCCATATTCAGTAACTTGAATATGCCAGCAAAGGCACGACAAAAATGGGTCAGCTGCATATTCTGGCATTGCAGGGTGTTGGACTAGATGATCCTCAGGGTCCCTTCCAACTACAGTTGTACGATTCTGATTCTATGAAAGAAAAAGACCTATCCAAACAACTTGTTTTTCTGTTGTGAGGAGGCAGGGAGAGGGTTGTTGACAGACAATGGGAAACCAATCAGATAGTATCCTGGGCTTTTCAGTTTTCACACATATGCATAGATATTGAGTGTTGTTGAGCTCATGGGAATAAGTGCTAAGATGTGTCCTAGAGGATTTCCCCAGGGAAACCGCTGTTATTATTTATGCAAAGCTCAGGCTCAGTTCTGTGTGAGTTAACCTCCTTGCTGTTGTGGAAAGAAGGAGTTCTTGGCAGATAACAGTGATTCTTATGGAGAAAAGAGGCCTGCTTTGGATTCCATAACAGTGTGACAGATTTCATATGTATTCTCATAGATGTTTATAACTGGCTACGCTATAACAGCTGGAGCTGCAGAAAGACTTGTGTTTGGATATGACAGCTATGGAAACATATGTGGTCGGAAGAACACTCCTGTGGCCGGTGCACCATTGTCGGGACAAGATATGACGGATAAAAAGTGAGCATGTTCTTATTTCAAAAGGCTGCAGTGTTATCAAAAGCTATAGCAAATAAAACCAGGCCTTTAGCTGATTAACATTCTATTTCCTTTTAAATGTGTTTGTTTTCGTTCTTGTTTTTTATTATGTATTTTGTGTTCTCATTTCATATTTTTATGTTGTGATCTTATGCCTTGTGATCTTTGGATGAAGGGCAGTATAAAAACTGAATAAATAGTAGTAATAATAATGATAATAATAATAGTAAAATGTACTCAGTCAGGAATACATAAACGATGCCTAAAGTAATAATTGTAAATGCCAATATATTGACTTCAATAAGGCTGAGAGATCCTATATATTTTAGCTGTTTACAAATTTATTAATTATTTACATCCTGCTTTTCGCCATGTAGGTCTCAGAGTGACTTACAGCAATAAAAGATGCAATATATGACATTTAAAACAAAAATGAAACCTCCGAAATGTAGAACCTCAATAATTTTAAAATCTCAAATTATATTTTTAAAAAAGGATTCCTCGCTCCCAAATCACTGAAATCCCCTAGGACAAATATTGGGAACCTGAAGCCTAGAGACTGAATGTGGCCTTCCAAGTACTTCTGTCTTGGCCTTTGGCCTCTCTAAGTAAGACATGCCCTTATTCAAGCCACATCCGCCCTCAGCAGGACACAACACTCATCCACACTGCTCCAGAGTTACCAGAGTGCTTTTGTCTGGTTGAAATATGTCATTGAACTATGATAACACCTATTGCTTGCCTGGATGGAGGGATGTTTGTGGCTTTTGTGTGGCTGTGCCCACAGTTGCCTCTGGCCATGCCCATGACTGACATGTCGCTCCCAGATGAGAGAGAACATGTTCCTTGGGCTCAAAAAGGTTGTTCTAGGGTGTAAATATTACTCCCTACTGGATCAGCAGCAGACTTGACCTTATATTTTTACTGCAATAAAACTGTATTGTGTTCAGGGGAAAAATATTTATATTTCGTAAAATTTATATGCTGTTTGATTGTTTTAAAAACCCCTCAAAATAGTTTACAAAAAAGAAATCACTTTTATGTGTTTCTAAATTTAAAAATTGTTTTGTATAGGAAAAACAGGTTGTTGGAGAGGCAAGGTGAAAATTTAGTTGTTTGTTAATGCGAAGTTTTCTTGTTCTCTCCTAGATTTGTTTTCTTTTTGAATTCATGTGATTTGGAAATAAAAAATCTCAAAATTAATTCAACTGCATTGTGTGTATCGAGTTGTCCGCAGGAGCAGCTTTCTTCCTTGGAAGAAATTCAATTTTTTGCAAAGAATAACGGTATGTGGTAAAGTTCTTTATAGTCTTTCTTTCTTTCTTTCTTCTTTCTTTCTTTCTTTCTTTCTTTCTTTCGTATTAACCTAATCAGTTAAAAAATTAAGACTTGACTTGACATACATATGAAAGGGACAATATTAAAGAGACATGTGGTTGAAATGCATGTTTCCCATCAGCTTGATTATAGTTATGTAGTCATGTTTTAAAGTTGCAATCATATACATGCTTACATAGGAGAAAGTCCTATTTAACTGAATGGCATTTACTTTAAAGTAGATATGTGTAGAATTGCACTGTTAATTTGTTCAACCACTTTAGACTAGTGCACACTTATTTTTTGCTAACTAACTTCTCCCCTTTCCCAACGTATATACCACTGGAAAAAGAGCATTCCACTTCTATATAAATGCTAAAAACAATAGTACACTACAGATTCAAAAAGGCAAACACATATTTAAAATAACAAAAAGTACAATGGCCAAGCTCCAAGAAGCTACTTTAGACGCACCAAAGGCTTAAGGTTGTCAAATGGAATTTTCTTATTCATTTCCCTGGAATGACAATCCCCTTTATGCAATTGCACTGTCTGCTTTCAAAACTCCTCTCAGTTTCAAAAGCAATTTGGAGAAGAAACATGTGCAAAGGTCTGTTTGGCATGCAGAACTACATGCTTAGGTTTTGGGGGTTTTTTTTGTATTTTGTCACACCATTATTATTATTACTACCCACCCTTTACCATAAGGTCTCAAGACTAGTCACAGCAATTAAAAAAGGTGCATTAAAAACATTTAAAAATAAATTACAGTCACAAGAATAGGGTAGGTCTTAAAAATATATATGTCAACTGCCAAAGGCCAAGGGAAAGAGGTGAATCTTTAGCATTTGATGAAAACAATGCAATAAAGATGCTGGACACACCTCTTTGGGGAGGAAATTCCACAGTGTAGAGCTGCCACAGAGAATGCTCTCTCCCAGGCCATCCCCTCATCACACTTAAGAGGGTGGTGGAACTATCAGGAAGGCCCCTAAACCTGGCTGAAGGGTTTTTTTAAAAATTGCATCGTTATTCTGTTAACTAGAAATACCAGGAATTTGAACGGAGAACCTTCTGCATGCAAAGCATTTGTTCCAGCACTGAACTATAGTCTGCCCTTTATCTCTAATGCATCCCTCTCCAAATGTCCTTTGGTTGTGCTGTGGTTATTTCTCCTTTGTCCTCTTTAAAGAGCAGCAATTCCACGTTTGTTTGTACTACTTTATCCCATTTATATGACTTGTATCTTTGTGCCTATGATATTCCCCCAGCCCCTACAGTATTTCCCTGAATAAATGTTGAATAATAGCACTTGTTGTAATAGTAGTAGCACCAACAGCAGTGGAAACCTTCAGTTTTTAGATAATATTCCTCCCATGTTTTGTATGTACCTTAAGGACTATATAGTGATATTTATTTATAGACTTATATAAACAGTTTAAAAATACTCCCAGGGCTGCTAACAAAATAAAATAGTTAACTGGATACAAAATACAATACATAAACATTAAACAGAAAAACAGTCAAAGCAGCAGAAGCTTTAACAGCCATTAAAACCATCAGCTAAAACTACTGAGATAATATGCTTGAAAGCCTGGGCATGTACAAAGGACTTCACCTGGTGCTGAAAATACATCAGGTTTCTTGTCAGGTGATGGGCAGAATGTGTCACCTCTATGAGGAAAGCTCTTCACTTTGAGGGTGCCACAACTGAAAAGGCCCCCTCTTTAACCCTTGCACCCCTAACTTTGAAAGGTAGAGGGATTTGAAGGAGAGACTATTTGAAGATGCTACTATCGTTTGGGGAGGTCATGGTGTGATTGGTGGTTCTTTAGACACCTGAGTCCCAGGCTACTTAGGAATTTAAAGATAAGCACCAGCACTTTGAATTTTGCCCAGAAATTGACCAACATCCAGTGCAGTTGGCTAAATTGATCTCATTATGCCTGATTATTTTATATTAAAGCAAATACAAAGAAAGAAGGGGTGCAAAACTATTTTCAATATTTTCCCTTCTGCATTTTTTCTACTCTCCTACATTGGTTCAAATTGTCAGGAAGCCTGATTTTAGTATTTTGGCAATTCTGAATACTGATAAGATAGAATCCAGGCATTCTTTGCATGACAGTTTTGTTATAACGCAGCATTTTTGCCAGCAAAGGGATTGAAGATAACTCAATTCTTCCCCTCTTTTTTGTTTTGTTTTTGGGTTTTTTTATGAAGTTAAACAACTAGTGTTTTTGGTCTCATTCTAATAATTTTAGTCCAGTTCTTAAAAAACCCAGTGTCTTAGTAAGCTAAAATAATGTTAGCGCTCACATTTTTGTAATTGCATTAGTAGTAATTTACAGTAGTTCCAATCTTAAAATGTTCCAGTTTACCTAAGAAATGCTGCAACATTCCCTGCTGAGGCTCATAATCCATGTACTGATAGTAGTGGTCATGGTGCAATTATATATAGGACATACATGATTTTTAAAACCTGGCTGCAAAGCTTTTCCCATATTTCAATTCTCATGTTTACCGGTACATTGTCCGTGTCTGATATTCAGTGGTACCTTGGGTTACATACGCTTCAGGTTATAGACGCTTCACGTTACGACTCCGCTAACCCAGAAATATTACCTTAGGTTAAGAACTTTGCTTCAGGATGAGAACAGAAATCGTGCAGTGGCAGCAGGAGGCCCCATTAGCTAAAGTGGTGCTTCAGGTTAAGAACAATTTCAGGTTAAGAACAGACCTCCAGAACGAATTAAGTTCTTAACCTGAGGTACCACTGTACTTTGACAGATTTTAAGCTCAGAACAAATTATGCTACATTATTGTAGCACAATGGGGTCGCCTTCTCTCTTCTGCTCTAGAGGGTTGGGGAAACTCCCAGAATAGATTTAGGGGTGCATGGAGGGAGAAGTGGGATAAATGTTTCATTGTGCAAGGAGAAATCATTGCACTGATGGAATGTTCACTTAAGCTCTATGTTGAATACATTCCAGCGTGATTCTCAAAGTACCTTAGTATGGATCTTAAAGTTTTGAGTAAGAAATTGAGGGGGGAAAGGTGCCTAACATATGGCTTCATAATGTCCTGATTACTTTCATGGAACTGAGTATATGCATCCTGCAAACTTTAAATGTGTGGTTGACTAAATACATGTTTTAGAATGTGATAGTAGAAGTAACTCTTAGAAATAAATCTATTATATTAACAGAATACATTTAGAGTGATAAAATAATGAGATTTAGATTGTCTGTTAGGTCCCACAAAAGATTCCAGAGGTCACTTACATATAGCAAATATGTACTTAACTGGTGTTTACCCCAAGAATCTCCTGATCAGACTGCCGCTGTGTGCTCTTACTGGGACTACTGTTGAAGATTGCTCAAAAGCTGCAGCTGATGCAAAACTCAGCTGCTAGATTGATTTTGGGTGTTAGCCACAAGAAGCATATAACACTAATTGCCTGTGAGGTCCATCAGTTCACAGCTTGTTCCAGCTAAATTCAAAGGACTACAGCCCACCTTTAAAATCCTTTAGAGTTTGGGTCCAAGATGCTTAACATAGCATTCCCTCCCATATTTATTTGATTGTGATTAACAATCCAACACATTTAGGTTAGTGGAGAAAGCTTTTTTGGTAGTGGCCCTGCATTATACAACCAACTGCTTACTGAAATTTGTGAGATTCAGATCCTTGGCCTTTGTAAGTAGGCTTTAAATACCTATTTAATTAGACAAACTTTTAGTAACATGCCTATTTTGCTTTAGTGGTTGCTGTTTTCTTCTACTAATTGTTTCTTTAATTTTTTTATTGTATCTTAGTTTCATTGTAAAGTTCTTGCTTTGTTATACTGTGTGTTGTAGTGGAAGGTGGGCTATAAATTTTCTAACTAAATAAAGCTAAGTTGCATTCACATCCTTTCTAGTTTCTTTAAATGATAACCAGAATGTCTTTTTATGTGGGTTTGTTCTCTGTAGGTTCTTGCCTCTGTGTTTACAATTTGAATGTTACCAGTTGTACATATAGTTTCAAAACTGCTGAGCTTTGTCCTGCCTTACCAGTTCCGCCAAGGTAAGGAATAACATGAATAATATTTTGCCTAAATGCTAGTTTTTCATTCAAAGCAATCAAGTACTTGTTTATTAATTTTTGAGTTTCAAATCTTGGAGGGAAGATACTGCAATTTGAGACAGCATAGGACTCCAGCCCCAGTCACCTTAGTCTTTTGTGGGGAAGAGTTTTTCCTATTCTCTCCCCATATAGATAATTATATCTCATTAATCAATTTAATAAAGAAATATGAAATTTAGAAGATACTCCAGATCTAAATGTCCCCAAGTAGTCTAATCCACGCATGCAGAAACCTCTAGTGCCAGAAGTTAAAAGACTTCTCTTTGGCAATGCATTGCCACAGGGTGTATTGTAGGTTCAGTGTGAGCATGGTTCCCCTTCCTCCCTAAATTTAACACTGTGTTTGAAATGCTAAGCCCAATGTCTTCTCTGTCTGTTTTAACCTTCTAGTGTGTCTTTCCCATTATTTAATCGATGTGTTCCACGAAATGCTAAGTGCTATTCCCAGTTTGCTTCTGTACTGATAAATGTGGTTAATGAAGTGGATATTTTTCATCGGATTCTGGGTGGGATTATGGCAGGAAGAGATACAGTCATAGGATTGTGCTTCCTTGCACTAGGTAAGCGAATAGCTTTATTTTATATATATATAATATCATTGCCGCATTTCATTTAAGAAGTGAACTGCATTTATTATAATTGTAGTTGAAGTTACGGAGTCTTATTTAGTATATTGCACTATATTGTATGTCATTGTTGGTCAGGTAAGAGTTAATTGCAATAAGAGGTGCAATTTCCTGAAGACCTCAGAGGAAGAATATTCTCTAATACTGGGTTTAGTTATAGAATCCAGTGATGTCTGCCTGATTAAGCAACAGATCTCCGCTTGTGCACTAGGACTTCCCCTTCCTATCCTACACACTAGGCTCTTGCATGTCCATCAAACCTAATCTAGCTGTTCCCCAACCTTCTGGAGCAGATGTTGGGGAGGTAGAAGGGTTGCAAAGTAGAGGAGAGGAAGGAGTTGTGCCCTTGCACACCTAGAAATCTGCGTGAACAACATGGATGTAACCCTCTGTCTTGTGTGGAATTAATATGACTCAGTGGATTGCAGGAGGCATTTGAGTTTTTATTTTAAATGATTACAGTGGTACCTCGGGTTACATACGCTTCAGGTTACAGACTCTGCTAACCCAGAAATATTACCTCGGGTTAAGAACTTTGCTTCAGGATGAGAACAGAAATCGTGCAGTGGCTGCGCAGCAGCAGCAGGAGGCCCCATTAGCTAAAGTGGTGCTTCAGGTTAAGAACAGTTTCAGGTGAAGAATGGACCTCCAGAACGAATTAAGTACTTAACCCAAGGTACCACTGTATTGAAATACAGAAAAGACATAGAGTTGCTCTCCTAAAGCACTCCTTTCAGAATTTACTCTTTATTGCTCTTTCAGAATTTGGCAGTTGCTATTTTGCTAATGTCAATAAATTCAATATACATTATTAATCCTTCATACTTACAACCCTCTGGTACTATTGAGAGTGATTAATAAAGAAGATGTGGGAATTATAGAGGACAGTATTTTGCTTAATATCGAAAAAGCATTAAGCAGACTGCCTCAATATGAATGAGCAGCTTGTGAAGAACAGAAGGTGGATTGTGGATTTCTAGTACGATCAACCAAGAATGAAATGTTGCACATAGTAATGTGACACTGATTTGGATGGGGCATTGAAGCAGCCAGAATGCCAATTGTGTATGGCATCAACAAACATAGAAAGCAGGGTTACAAGAGCTGTCAAAATTATTAAAATCAAAGGCTGCAATCATGCACACAGTAAGGCTGCTTAAATTCATATGGGTTTATTGGTAGTTTGGCAGTGATATCGGCAGGAGCGCTGTGAAAATCTCTAGTCACATCTAAAATTCCCATGTAAACCATTTAGGCTGCAATCCTGTACAAACAACTCCCCGTTTGCACTTGGGTTGTGTTCTGTGTCATTCCGTGTGTAAGCCTGTTCCACTTCCCCTTCCTGCCCCATTCCAGGGCCCAAAACAGCATGTGTGCTGGTGGTCATGCGTCAGTTTGGACATGCGCAAAATGGTCACTGCCTGTACATACTTAACTGGTTTAAGGCTGGTTAAACCCAGTGGGGCTTACTTCTGAGTACAAATGCATAGGATTGTGTTAGTAGTCAGCTTGATTAACAAGTCAACTATAGTAACTTTTTTTTCTCCACTTGCAGCATTCTCTATAATAATCATGTTAGCCTTCAGATTCATCAGCGTGCTTGTGATCCATATTTTTCTTACACTACTTATATTTGGATTATTATGTGAGTATTGATCCTTTGAGTATATATTTTCATATTTTTGTGTGCATCTATATCTATCTGCTAGGATTCAAATTACTGTGTGCAGTTTCACATGTATGGGGAGGGCTCTTAATTTCCCTCCTTAAATGCCTCCTCTTCAAAAGTGCCCTCAAATTTCAGGGACCTTCGAGAACAGTGTTTCCCAATTGGTTGTCTGTGATAAATGTAAAGGACCCCTGACAGTTAAATCCAGTCACGGACGACTCTGGGGTTGCGGCGCTCATCTTGCTTTATTGGCCGAGGGAGCCATCGTACAGCTTCCGGGTCATGTGGCCAGCATGACTAAGCCGCTTCTGGCGAAACCAGAGCAGCACACGGAAATGCCGTTTACCTTCCTGCCAGAGCGGTATCTATTTATCTACTTGCACTTTGACGTGCTTCCATGGTACATACCCATTAACTATCCAGGACATTCTGTTACATAACTTTGAATCAGCAAGAGTTTAAAATCAAAGGCCCATACATCAACACTACTTTATTTCAAGCTTGCGAGTATAATTATATATTTTTAAGCCCACCATTTGATGCCAGTCTGATTTTTCAGTTTTATGGGCGCTGCAGATAAGGCAAGTATACCTAGGTAGTTTGTGTCTTTCAGATGAAATAAATAATGCCTGTATTGCTATATTTGTTCCAGTTGTTTCAGGAATCATGTGGTGGCTGTATTATAATTACACCAATGAGCCCAGCATAGAATTGGAAACAGAAAAGGAAAACATGAAATTATTGTTTGGATTTGCTATTTTATCTGCAATCATTACGGTAAGACACTTATCACATAGTCATTAGCATTTTGTGGGAAATTTGTTAGCATGGGGTAAGGTGGGGCTGCCTCAGATGTATATGATAAACTGGAACGCTACAGGTAATTTGACATTTTTGTTTGCAAAAAGCACCTCATGTCTCCATCTGCACTGTTGCAGGTCTCTGGTAGGCAGAAATCAACAACTTTATTGGCCTGAACAAACCACTAGAGCAGGCATAGGCAAACTCGGCCCTCCAGATGTTTTGGGACTACAACTCCCATCATCCCTGACCATTGGTCCTGTGGTCCTTAGCTAGGGATGATGGGAGCTGGAGGGCCGAGTTTGCCTATGCCTGCACTAGAGACCCCTGAAAAACTTTCTTCTCCAACCGCCACTCGAACAGTGAAGGCTGGGAGTAGTGGGCCGCACATGCTTATGTATGCATTCTTACATTTCACACCTGCAGACTTGTGGAGGCACACAGCCCCCTGCCCCAGCTGATCTATGCAGATCAGGCAAGGATGGTGGTTATCACTCTCTCTCCACACACCAAATGATCCATCTGATGACTGGAGAAGGTGTGATTTGCATCCCCATCAGTGTGCTTGGTTGCCTACCCCAGTGCTAGGACTACTTTATTTTTTTCCACTTTTTGCTGCTGGTCAGTCAATGGGGCCAGAAAAAAATGCTTGGCAGAAATAAGTAATTATTTCAATGGGACCTGCACGCAACTAGCTTGTTCTAGACTCAACTCAGACATATTACAGTGGTGCCTCGCAAGACGAAATTAATTCGTTCCGCAAGTTTTTTCTTCTTGCGAGTATTTCGTCTTGCGATGCACGGTTTTCCATAGGAATGCATTGAAAATCAATTAATGCGTTCCTAGGGAAACCGCCTTCAGACCAGGTCCGGGGACAGTCTGTCCCCCAACCTCTTCTGAAGGCTGGGGGGGGACAAGGGCTTTTCTTCCCACCCCCAGCATTTTAAAAAACCCCAGGACAGTGGAGGGCTTCTCCGCTGTCCGGGGCGATCTTAAAATGCTGGCGGGCGGCATTTTAAAATCGCCCCGGACAGCGGAGGACTTCTCCGCTGTCTGGGGCGATTTAAAAGCCCCTGGGAAGGCAGGCAGGGGGGACAAAGACATTTGCCCCCCGCCCTCCTTCAGAAGAGGTCCAGGACCTCTTCTGAAGGCTGGCGGGGGCGAAAGTCTTTGCTCCCCCCCGCCTGCCTTCAAAAGCTGTCCGGCCAAGGCTTCGCGGACCTCTCCACAAGCAGCGGCAGCGCTGCCGCTGCTTGCAGAGAGTTGCCGGCATGCCGAAGCCTGCGCGCGCTGAGATCAGCGCGCCCAGGCTTCGCGGACCTCTCCTGCCTTCAAAAGCCGTCCGGGATAGCGGGAAGCGCTTCCCTGCTATCCCGGACTGCTTTTAAAATGCTGGCGGTGGGGAGCAAAGCCTTTCGCCCCCCGCCAGCCTTCCTGGACCTCTTCTGAAGGCCGGAGGGGGGGGAAGGCTTTGCTCCCCACCGCTAGCATTTAAAAGAGGTCCCCGGAGATTTCCCTATGGGCTTTCGTCTTGCGAAGCAAGCCCATAGGGAAATTCGTTTTGCGAAGCGCCTCCAAAACGGAAAACCCTTTCGTCTAGCGGGTTTTCCGTCTTGCGAGGCGTTCGTCTTGCGGGGTACCACTGTATATGGCTTAGTGTTGAATGTGAAATGACACATGCCACAATTAATGGAGCCATTTGCAAATTCTAGTTTATGATTTTCAGAATTCAGTAGTTTGGTATGTTTATATATTGTTGATAGTGTTACAGTAGAATTAAAGATCACCATTTGCTATGCTTCTATACATGTTTTGTTGTAGTAGAGAGGAAAAAGTATAGAGCTGCTGCATAGATGGATTGTAGCACTGTATATTAGGCATCTGTGAGACATCTTCAAATTAGATCATTGTGGATTTGGGGGTCTCAAGAGCCTGTAAAAAGATGTGAGAATCTCACACGCTGGCATACCCTGTTGCTGGCACAAGGTGGCATGCTAGGAGAATAAGCTTGTTCTGTTGTTTTGAGTGTACCTTTGCAAAACTTTTTTTTTTTTTTTTTGCAGTACACTGTTAAAAGCTGAACCTTTAGCTGCACAAGAAACAGTTCTGCAACAAGTGCTATTTTGTGTTCCAGTAGTATTATTTTTTACCCATAGACAGGCCTCTTTTATTTTATATCTCTGCTTCTGCTAGGGTTGTTCTGTAGGAACTAGAAAAAAGTTCCTGAACCAAGATTGAATGACCTTAAAATCTTAATACTTCTCCATCCCAAATGTTGTTAATTTGTTAACTGAAACATTTTAACGTATTATTTTTCCTTTTTTGTAGATTATTCTCATTCTCCTGATACTGATATTAAGGAAGAGAATTCACCAAACTATACAGCTCTTTCATGTTGCCAATAAAATTATTGGCAACGTCCCTTCTTTGTTCTGCCAGCCTCTTTGGACTTTTACAATACTTCTTTTCTTCTGGGTGTACTGGGTGGCTGTGTTACTTAGCTTAGGCACTGCAGGTTAGTAGACTTTTTTCTGTGATACCAGGCTATATTGATTATTTTCTGTTAAATATGCACTTGTTGATGGTGAAATATACACACGAATGTAAATGTATGTGTGTTTTTAATTTTTTTGTATTTCAACCATAGTTCCTGATAAGTGAAAGGTAAGTCGTCTGGCACATTACTTAGGATATAGAATCTAATCACGTTAGATCCTAAAAATAATATTTGGTTTGTGTTGACTTTGTAAAACAGCCTTGTTTTCTGCTACAAATGCTGTACCTGCTTGGCTCTGTTTTAAGAATGTATGTTGGATATAGTTGCCACAAAGATGCTGATGTGTATCATACAACCATTTTAGGTGTCAACTAGAATTTATCCAACTCTTCTTAAGCATGTTCTGGGCCATGTGGTTTTATTTCCTGTTTTGATTTGCTGCTCTTGGCACCATTATAAAGGTCAGCATTTCTTGGCAGAACTGTCTTTAGTTTCTCTTAGACACATTTTAAGGAGGCTTGGGTAGTTGTGACCTCGAGTTAGAAAGGCAAAGTTGATAAATCCATGTTGTAGCTTATTGTTGAAACAGCACAGTACAATAAATGTACAGTGGTTTGATTTAATGCACCACACCTGCTAAAGAAATATTTTGCTTCTGCTGTAGAAAAAATGTGGAGAGAATAAAATGTGTGCAGATGGCACGTAAAGTAACGAGGAAGATTACAGCACAGTAGCCTGATTTGCATCCTGCAGCAAGTCAAGCTATGGCTTACTGGGACCACACAAACATGAAAGCTTCTAGAAGGGGAACTTGCAGCCACTTTATTCCTTCCATATATTTATTGTTCGCTGGCCATGCTGAGCTAAACTCAAGGTTTGGTTTAGCATGTCATCCGAACCTGGGCTTCTGTGTCAGTTCTTTACTCACTTTCCCTGAGGTCTGCCCAAGGTTGTGGGAGTAAGGCTGACTTACTGGGACCTGCAAATGAGGCCAATATAAGTGTCAAATCGGATAGGCAAGATGCTAGAGGCATCATTTCCCTTTCTGTGGAGTGTTGAAAAGGGTGCCCATTTTTTCTAGCTGTCAGTTTGTATCTGTTAATATCTATACAACTTTAACACACAAGCTACAATCTGCTTTGTAGAAGTAAAAACAAGAAAGAGTCCTGTGGCACCTTCAAGACTGACCAAATTATTATGCCACCTTATTGTGTCTGCTGCAAAAGACTAACATGGCTGCCACTCTGGAAAGTATGTACAAGTAGTTGCCAAAAGATCAACTTTTGTTTTCCTTCACCTTTAAGTGACAAGCGAGCAGTTATCAGATTTAATCCGGCCCTGTTCAAGCTGTTGCAGTGCAAAACATCAGCTTGATGTAATTGTTGCAAAACTAATTCAGTTGACATCTATGTATTTTAAAAGTCTGCACATAGAACAGCATTCCTGGACAAGGTCACAGAGTCAAGTCTCAGAATTGCTCCTCACTCAGCAAATATTTCCATTAAGTACTCATTGTGCTGTATCAGGTGTCAATAAATTCCCCTACTCCATCTGCAAACATGCTTTGGCATGAGACAGTGTTAAATTGCTGGTATATCCCTGCCCATTAATGTTAAGTGTTGCAATTGTGTCACATTCCAAAATGAGTCCACTTTCCTGCCTAGAACTGTCTGCCCTTTACCAGAAAATTTCTTCACCCTGCTTTTCTAGTCCAGATGACCACTTTCAGGCTTCCTTGAAGAGTGGAAGGCCTTAAATAAAATAAATGTTGGCACAACCTTCTACCTATAAAGAGTCCTGACAGGTTTGAACAGCATTGTAACGTTGAATTCCAGGCCTATCATTTCCATGCAATAAACTAAATCATTAGCAAATATTTACAGAAGGCTGTCAAAAGTACAACATTCTAAGTGGAATGCGAGTTGTGCTGTGACAAACATTCCATCTGCGCAAGCATTTCACCTTGCCAGAAGGAATGATCCCACAGTTCTCTCCTGCATACTGTTCTGGGGATTCTCCTGACCACTCTCCCAAGCCAATTTCAGGGAACAAACGGGATGTGGGGAGGAAGAGGGGAGCCCTGTTGCACAAGCAAAAGTCTTTGTACAGGGTTTCTTCTGATGGGGGTTGCTGGGTGAATCCCACTCTCTGCACATTGTGGTTTGAAACTATTGTTTGCAAATATGTGCTAATAAGAAAACGTTCTGGAGAATAATGTATTACTGATTCATTAGCCCTCTTCAGGTGCTCCAATGTGGCAACAACAGCCTGAAGTCATCCATCTCCACTGCTCTCAGTTGGGCCAGTCCACCAGGGTTTATATATTTATAATTCTTAAAAACCCATTTAACAACAAATCAGCTGAATATTATATATATTAAAAAATCAATCATGGTTAGAATAGTTGAACTAAGGAAAAGTACATTAGATTAATGTCACCATTTCAAAAAAATTAATTTGTTTGTCGAGTCATTACATTTTTGTGTGTGTCTTGAATTTGCAGGCAATGCCCAGGTTGTTTCAAGAGGTCAAGTGGAATACAATATTCGGTTTGGCATTCGATACATGTGGTGGTACCACTTAGTTGGGCTTATCTGGACAAGTGAATTCATTCTAGCATGTCAGCAGATGACTGTGGCTGGGGCAGTGGTTTCTTACTTCTTCAACCGGTATGTGCGGCATTTATCTTCTTGTCAGGAGTTTTATTTCTTAGTCTTTATTTTCAATCTGTTGTGAAAGAAATTGTTTTCTTAAAAAGCCACGGATGGTTGGACTTTGAAAGCTAAGGCTACAGTCCTACACTCACTTATTTGCCTGGTAGTAAACTCAGAAATTACTTTGAGTAGATATGTATTGGAATGCAAAGTTGGTTATTCTGACATTGTTAGAGATGAACTGCAACAAGAGCCACTGTAGCTTAGTTAACAGACTGTAAACTACGCACTTTTTATTTCAAATGTGAACTAGAAAGAACTGTGAACTAAGCAGTTCTTACTTCGAATGTCACTACGGTATGAACTTAGTGGCTGCATTTGAACATAATGCACAACAATAGCTTAGTCCTATGTGAGTGATATTCGGGCTCATGCACTCTCCACTCATCTTCTCCAGTGTGTCTGTGGAGGAAATCACAAGTATTTGTTTCAGTTTTCATTTAACTGTAATCTTTCACTGTATGGTTAGTTTTATCTGTTGTTTGTCTTAACAAACCAGCTTCAAGCTATTGTTCACGATCTTGAATTGATTAGGTAAAATCATAGTTCAAACCAACTTTAGTTCCTGATGTGGGTGGCTTGACAAACAACAGTTAGTGGGAAACTGAAGCAGATTGTTTAAGCTACTGTTTGGTGTTCTGTCCAAACCAGGGTAGTATTTTATTTTAGACAGGCTACTATCTCTCAGCCTTGGTGTGGAATAATGAAACTGAACTACCTTGCTGGCTTGTTGTAATGATTACTGAGATAATGTGTGTGAAACATGTTGAACTCTCTAAAGTGATACATAAATGCTTTGTAAGCGAACTGTGCACCACGGGTCTCTTAATCGCGTATCTATGAGAGTAACTGTGAGGGATAGGGCCATTGCTGTATGTAAGTACCAAGGCAGCTTTAGCTTTAACCAGTGGATGAGATCTAACATAACATTCACACAAGGAGTCAGAAAGCTGATGTTGTGCAAGCAGAAGCTCACAAGCTTAACTGTCATGTTGCACAACCCTTATTATTATTATATATATTTCATAAGTGCAAGACACCTATTGGAATCAGCTGAACGAAGCTTCTACTAGCTGTTGTGTGAGCAGGCTGCCATAACTGGATACCCCATGCCTCCAGCAACAGTATTTGTTCTGTTTTATCTCAGAATGGACTGTCTAATAGCCGGAATTCAGTCATTCCAGAATAATTCATGTATTGGCAATCATTTGTAAGCTGATTTTCCACTTCTCTCTCCTTTTGTGAAGGTGTTAATCAACCTTCAAAACCTTCAAAATTTTTGCAATTTGTGTCATTCTATACAAATATTATCTTTAATGACCTCTTAACAAGAACTCTGTTACATTTTGACAAGTAGTTTATTTAAACCCTTTTTTATTTTCATGAAATTAGCAACTCATCCTCTATTACATTCATAAACTTTCATTTTCTACATGCCATACATAATACTGTTCTTCTTGCAAAGTGATATGTTCTCAGCTGTCTGAATTAATTTAGATCCCATATGAGGGTAGCTTGTGCAAGCAATTTTTCATACTTGAAAAACCTGTCTGGCTTGTGCAAGCTTGTCTCTATGTGTGAGGCTGATTTGTTGGGTTATGCCCATTGTCAGTTTCACTTTACATATGATTCATTCTTTAAATTTTGAATGTTCTCAAATGTTAGTGGTGTAATTGCTGCTTTTTTAAATACCCACTCATATAATGGAATGAGTGCTTATTTGAGGAATGTTGCCTTCGGGAAGAAAGAATGCTACTGGCATTGTCAGTTGCGAAGTAAGGTTGAGAATGGTAGGTGTTTTTAGAATGTTCATGGAGGTATTTGTATTCATAGTAGTTCTTCCAGCACGTTTTTCTCCTTAGGAAAATCACTGTGTGCTGATTTCAGTAAGAATTTGTTTCAAAATATCACATTTGTCTCTCTACAACATATGTACTGGTCTTACATCATGCTGTTAATGACAGACTGGGCCACTAGAGAGCACAAGAGGCACATAGACTGAGCCAAGGCTCTGAATCCACCTCAGAGCCCATATGAGTCACCTCACAATATTTCTCAAACTTGGGTCTCTGGCTGTTGTTGGACTACAACTCCCATCATCCCTGACCACTGGTCCTCCTAGCTAGGGATGATAAGAGTTGTAGTCTAACAGCAGCTGGGGATTCAAGTTTGAGAAACACTGCCTCAGGGGACATGCTAGGAGGACTCTCCCTCCCTCCCTAGCACCAAGGGAAGATTTTTATTGCAGATGAGACAGAGGAAGAGAGAGAAAATAAACAAATAAAATTCTCCTACCCATGGTTTTTGCAAAAGAACAGAGTGTGAATTATTATGATCCTTTTGAAGGTTTTAGAAGCTAAGGAAGAAAGAACACACTGTGGTATTTTGGGAGAGAAACTGAGGCAGTGAGAGGGAAGATTTTGTAGTCCATGTGCACCAGCACACGGCACTTTCACTTGTAAACCATGATTTAGCAAACTAGGTCATATAGAAATGACTATAAAAAATAGTCATTTCTAACACTGTTGTTATATTATTCCATTCATCCATTCATCCAATTTGACCCCAGTTAATAGTACAGGTCAGGGTTGACTTAATTCATGCAAGCTAGAGATATTGATCTCACCAGTCCTTTCCCAAGGGTAACAAGCATGCCTTCTCTCCTCGCACTCTCCCCTTCTGATAAAGTGCACCACTGTGACCTTCAGAATGGCTTTGTTCCTTTGGCACATCTCTCAAAGCAAGAGTTGGTGTTTGTCTGCTCTACATCGTTTTCTCTTTTATAATGCTAGATGATGTATGTTAGCATTGAAATTCATGTATTTGCCAAGGAGAATGAGCCACCCTACAGTGTCGGTCCCTCTTCCTATGATTTGCTTTGCCAGCACATAGAGGTATTTAAACCAATGCAGCAGACTAATGCGTGTAGAAAGATGAAGCAAGAATGCTATCACACGCTTTTGGGCAGTAGTACGGTATGTCACAAGAGCTTTGTTTATCACATTGCGTGCAGAGCCTTTCCCTTTAGCTAGTAAGCATTTACAGGAAATAGAGCAGCCTTTACCTCAGCAAACCTGCTTCCTCACTACACAAAGCAATCTATTAGGCACTTTGCAGTCTCTCCATAAGCGGAATTAAAAGTGGGGAGGGTGGAGAGTTGTTTCAGCTGGATTAGCTTCACAGGGGTCGTCTGTTTGACCTGAAACTGTACTTTGCTTTCTTTCATTTTAGATAGAAGATGCATTCTTTAGAGCTGTTCATAATTTAATAACAGATATACAGCTTCCTCCACCACCTACTCTTTTATGATTTGTGAAAGCAGAATTCAGTATTTTGAAATCTGCCTTTAAAAAGAGCTTCATATTGAGAGGTTGCATTTTAAGCTTCAGTTTATGATGAGTAAGGATGCAAATTCGGTACCTTTAAATGAGTAGCAGCGCAGCTGAGTGACTAATAAGTGGGTATGGGCTGAAATCCCAACTCACGCCTAATTTCATTGGTTGACACTGGGGAAGTCTGTAAAAATGGTAATAATACTCTTTCTGTTTCTATTTCACGTTTATTTCGAAGCAGAAATATATAGAAGGCAGCAAAGGATCGTTGGAGTGATAGTAGTGGGAAAGAGATGCATTGCTAGCTTCGCTTTCCATTAAAAAAATACAGTGCCTGAAAAGTGCTGGACCATATCATAAGGTTGTAAAGTTCTCTGATGCTATGGAATGAGATACCTCATGCTTGTATTTCACAGAGGAAAGGAAGCTTCATTTCACAAATATTTAAATATATTTTTATTACGTAGACAAATCCACAGTCAATTTTGTGAGTGTAGATTATTTTATTTACTTTATAACAGCACAAGGAAAAGGGCACATGCCACCATGAAACTATCTCAGCAAGCAGGAATTCAGCTGAGAAAATTCATGTTGTAAAAGTGTCTGCAACAGCATCAGGGGTATCTTCTTCTCTTAAGAGTCCTCTTAACAGCCAGTTGAACTTAGCCCAATGCAGTAACCATGTATCCCCACTGCCCAGTACTAACTCAGTATTCTTATTAGATGACCTCGATTTTTTCTCTGCAGTTGAGTGACGTTTGGGTTGATATACCAGTTGATGACATTTCCTGAGCCATATTAGCTCTACCAGCTGTCTCTTATCTTGCATCTTTTGCATTTTTGGTTCGATCTTAGATAAAAGGAAAGTCTTTGTTCTGTTTTTTGACCTGCTTAGAGCCCATAAAGCCGCAAAACATTATCAGAGCCCGTTCTCTGCAGTTTTCCTTGGCTGGAACCAGGCAGTTGAAGAATTTGTTATAGACTTATCCAAACACACTTCAAAATTTACCATTTGACTACATTAATGAACACACTTTAGGTAATCTTACAAGTAAAAGGTAATCATACGAATACAATTCCTTCTTGTGCCTTCAGTAAGAAATTAATTATTAATAAATGCATAATCCTTGCCTTTTTTGCATGTCATATGCTTGGTTAATATATTTTTTAATATATTCTGCAGTTATATTTTCTCTAGGTGTTTCACATGTAAGCATTTATGAAAAGACATTTGATTAAGCTAAATTCAAACCGAGATAAAGATCTATTTCAGAAACAGTAGAATGATGACTTTTAGAAAGTATGTCAATGTACTTATTTTACATAGAAATCCAGCACTTACCCCCAAATTGTTCCCCTGGCCTGAAGAGCTGAAATGAATGCATACCATTTTCCTGGTATTTCCTATTGAAAATAATGTGGTGCATGCATATATAAATATAGCCTTATAGCTGTAGTGTAGCTATTACTGTGGAAAGGCTGTAGGGATTGTATTACTATGTTACCTACCTAGGCTGACGTGGCTATGTCTATTTAAATTCCTGCTTAGGTGAAGATTTAATAAAAATATATTTACAGAACTTCAGTTTCATGCTTCAACCATTGGCTCTTGTTCTTTTGCGAACACTGCTCCTATTTTGTAAAGGTCATGGCAGAAAACACTTGAAAGAGTGAACATTTTAAAGTGTGATTCTCATTTCATTCATTCTTGAGGCTTGTTTTGGATTCATATTAATGCAAGCTTGAACTCAAATAATACTTGAGAAGTTCTGTTACAATTGTGTCCTGTGATTCCCATTAAGCTCACATTCAAAACCCAGCTCACAGAAATCTATGGTTTGATCTCTTCCACCCTCCCCATCCATTATAATGCTACAGTCAATCCTAAGCAGTAATGTCCTCATTTCACCATTAGCAGTACTGCATACCAGTTTTATAGTTTTTCAGAAAGGAGGCCTAATCTTATATTTAATAACTGAAGAGAAGAAGAATTAGAGTTTATAATGAAATGGCAAATAGGGACTAATCAGATTAGTGTGGAGGGAAAGAGATTAGCTAAAAACTGTGTACTACAAATTTCATATCGGCTTTTCCCTGTTTAGAGCTCTATTAAAATCTTCTCCAGTTTTTAATTATTTGTTTACTTACAATAATTAGACTCCTAATAAAAAATGTTTCCAAGTGGGACACAGCATATTAAAAACAGGATAAAATTCACTAATCTTAAGGTCCTATAGAATAGAATCAAAAGCAGAAGCACTGTTTCCTGAATGTTTGCCTGAGTAAAAGTGTTTTTAATATGCCATAGGCAGTTGTAGCATATCAGGAGATAGTGTGTGCCATAACACTGAATGCCCTCTTATGTGTCCTTATCTATACATATGTGTGTTTCTGGTCTCACTGGGGGCCACACCACTCTTTTTGCTGGAAGCAGCAGATCTTTTACTCAAAAGATGGGTTCTCCTGTGCCCATCAGATTAGGGAAAGTGGTGACCATGCAAATTTCCCCAGGGCTCTACTAAGCATGTGAAACTGCATTTTCATTCAGGGAATTTCCTAAATGCGTGTGAAGATTAATTTCCATAGAGTATTCCACAGTGTACTATTCAGAGAATAGGATTGGATAGCACAGTTGTTTTGAGTGGTTTGTAGCCCCCAGCACTGTCACATACATAGTGGAGCTTCTGGAATGGCAGGGTTGAGAACATGTAAATTATAATGGCCTTAAATATATATGCATCCAACTTGATGGCACATGGGCTCAATTCAGTTTTTCAAAGGTCAGTAGATACAGGACTTCCATCATAATTGGTTAACAAACTATGAGATGCCGATCCTAATAGCTATATTGTGTTTCGTTTTATTATCTGTGTAGTTTTACATGTTGTTGTTTTTTCGTTCTAGAAATAAAAGTAAACCACCAAGTCATCCAGTCCTGTCTTCCATATCAATTCTTTTTTGTTATCATCTGGGAACAGTTGTGAAAGGGTCCTTTTTGATCACAATAGTGAGAGTCCCAAGGATTATTCTATTGTCAATTTATAGCATCCTGGAAAAAAAGGTAGGCTTGTACTTTAGTTTTGTAATGCCATCATATAGCAGTTAATGCATCAAGGAGCAGAAAGTAATGATATCTGAGCATCATTTCCCGCTCTTGTATTTATTTTTTACTTATTTATTGAGCTTTATAGCTCAATATCATCCCGATTCCAAATGTTCACATCAGGTTACAAAGTTCAAGACACAACATTTCCATTGTGCAGTCTTAAAAGTCTCCACTCTTTGATGGCTTACCTATAAACTAGAGGTGAGGAACCTCTGACTTGTGTGCCTAATTAGTTCCCCACCCCTGCCTTCATCTCTGGAAACCAACCTAAACAGACAGATTTTGACAAAAGAAGTATTTAGGGTTTCATGGATTAAAACTGGAACTTTGAATTATGACTGTGAAGATAGTATGGAGCTAGTGGAATTATAAACACTAAAGTAATTCATTTTCCTCACACACCCTCCTTAGGCACTAAGCTGCCACATTCTGAAGAAGCTAAAGCTTCTGAATAGTTTACAAGCACAAGACCATTTTGAATGTTGGGGACTGTTCAGGAAAAGGCTGATGGCACAAATCAAGAAAATGCAATGCTTATTACAGGAATTAAATTTAGATTTAATTTCTAATTCCCAGCATTTTTATTTTTAAAATATCCTGAATCCTTTAAACATTTTATTTACATTAAAATAATAAAAAATATTTTTTGTTCTGTTCATCTCTATCACATAATGTAGTTATTAAATGAGCTTTTCTAGCTTTTATTTTCCTCTTCTAAAGGAGAATAAATAGTATTGAATGGCAGTGGCTTTTGTGATCTGTGCAGAATGTTGTAATAATGTATAGCAATACATTGGAGATCACTGCATAATTGTAAGACTAAGTTTCCCAGAAAGTCTGTGTTATGGGAATTTGATCTACAAATGAAGGAGACAAGATGCTGCTAAAATGTCTGGATCATACCAATGTTTCAGTAAAAGTTCTAGTGATCTTTCCTATACAGAATGTCCTACTTTGCACTGAGGCCCTGTTTTCGGGTATCAATCCCAAGAACATAACAGGCTATCTAATACGCTGCTGCTAGTATAAACATTTATTTACTGCCTGTCTGAAGATCACATCCAAAATTATGTTTTTTATGGTCCACAGAGCTCCATGTACTGTACAACTGTCCTACAGGTTTTGCAGTTGCAGCAGCTTTCTGTTGGAAGGAATTCCCCTCCCCCCCCCTTAAGAAATAAGACAATATGCATCTGTCTGGGTGTCAAGCTGCAAAATATATTTGCTAAACACACAGCATTAAGCCTTTCTGTTTCTCTATTTTCTAAGCAGATGGAAGCTTAACCAAAATATCCACAGGCCTGATCTACATGTCTTGTTAAGGCACAGTTTGTCTTAAACCATAGCTTAATTGTGAATGTGCCTCCCCCTCATACATGGTGCCTGCAGTGTCTCGAGGAAGCCATAATATGACTTGTCATGTTGTCCGAACCCAAACCATGGTATGTCTGTTTCAGACAAAACACAAGAAATACTCCAGGACTAAACCAAGAGGTGGTAACTGCATAGCTGATGCAGAAGTACTTCACACTGCTTTCTGACAATGGGTGTCCTGGAAAAAGGAAAACTTAATTTGCAAATATGTTTCTGGCTTTGACAACTAATTAGTGCTGTTTCCCACTGCAGAAGAATACATGTGCAAGATGCATATTCAAATGCTGCTGCTGCTGTTTCTGGTGCCTAGAAAGAGGCCTAAGATGCTTAAACCAGGTATGTTATATCAGTTGAAGTTATGTATAGATACTTGATTTTTTTAGTGGAAAAAAATCAGAATGAAAATGGAGGTTCTTTACGAAAATACTTCAAAAAAGTTATTTAATTTTTACTTCCTCAGTTTAGCATTAGTTCAGAAATGCTAATTCTGTTGGTCACTATCACAGCTGTATACTGTGACTGGCATGTTTGTCACAAAAATAAGCATTATCTACTACTATCATCTTTGAGGAGTAAACAATTGTGTGCTTGGTTGATGCTACCACATGAGATTTTTGTGCATGCTTCGCTATCCTTAGAGTCTGTTGGCTCTCAAAGCAGCTACAAGACAGATTAGTCCCAAGTTAGAGATATGACAATTAGTTTATACTTATCAGCAATCTCTATCTTCATATATCCTTCTTGTTTTTTATTATGTTAAATCTTTGATGATATAAGTTATGAAAATGCATTTTTGAATGGCTGTTTATAGGATAACTGGGTGGTTTTGCTACTTAAAATTATGCTTGAAATTATTATATAGAATGTTTTCTTAAAGTTTCCTTGACACAATTATTTTATGGAGTTACGTAACTTCTCTTATCTATTTTGGGCTTTTTTTAAAAAAAAGACGTGAATAAATAATCTGTGTAAATGCAAAATTGTAATTTCATGAATTCAGTCTGCTAGTCATACTAAATATTTAGTATCATCCTATTTTTGATGGTTTTAAGAAAGAACAATTAAGTCTAATCAGAAACTTCTGTAGGAAGATGCATTTTCCCTTATAGTCAGTCTCCTAGTTTTCCTCTAATTATCCCATTTTTTCATACCTTGCTGTTGTGGATTTTTATTATTTAATTTATTTATTTTGCAGTAGTGATAAATTGAGGTTGTTAGGAATTGTAGTCTGGAGGATCTGGAGGCAGCATGCTGGTAAAAGCTGCACATGGATATGTGTCTCACTGAATAATTAATTAAGCAATTAAGCAATTTTTATTCTCTCTCGCCTTCAGCAAAACTGGTCTCATGGTAGCTACTCACAACTCTGTGAGATAGGTTAGTTAGGCTGAGAGAGAGTGGCTAGCTAAATGCCACACTTTAAGCTCTGGAGTTTTCAGCCTAGGTCTTCCTAATCCTCACTGTGCTATTGATTAAAGTTCAGTAAGATGGCACACAGATTATAAATGATGTACCATGCTGGAGCTGTGGTGTATTGTCCCTGGATATAGGTAGACTACTTACGACAGGTAGGCAGACTACGAATAGGAATAAAAGGGTGTCTGAATGAGCTGAACTATTATGTACCTGGGTTGGGACAATTCTGTATGTGGCATGGATTGAAACCAACCAGATTGTATGAGCAAACCAAAGAAGCTAAATACAATCATGTCTGACCAGCTTGTTTTTGGCTTCTTTTAAAAGAAGATTTTGTTGCTATGGCTCTCCTCTTTTCACTGAGCTCATTTTTAATAGAGTCCTAGAATGGAAGACTGAATTCAGCTGTTACACAAAGTTGCAATTATTCTTCAGAAGCAGGAAACTTTAGGGCTTGGACCTGTGCCACAGGGCTTTTCTCATGAAGCTAACAGGTCAGTTTTTCCAAGACCCTTGACATTCATTCTGTGTTGTGAAGTACAGAGGGATGTTTCCCCCCCCCCCAAGTACTTTTTTTTTGTCTACTGTGCTATTTCAAAATATGTAAACAATCCCATTCCTTATTTATCTGTGAGAAATATAGTCTTTGGTTCCCAGGCACTGGAACATAGGGGCTGAATTTCTTCTAAAAGGGAGTTGTAGGATAGTAATTTATTTATTTATCACCTTCCAAACAGACCTCAAGGCGTTGTGCAAAATGCAATAAAAACAGCTGAATAACACACACACACACACACACACACACACACACACACCAATAAAACCCCAACACAGGAAATAACAGCAGATATATCAGAGACCTATTCATCCAGCTAGGAAATCTTCTTAGAACAAAACTGTCTGTTTCCAGAAAGTTCAGATAGTGGGCGTCTGTTGTGTCTCGACAGGAGTGCTGCTCTGCAGAACAAGGCCCTGCTCTGAGTCTCGGTGAAGTGGGTTTCTGGTATCTTTAGAACTTGATGGAAAAGCTATATTGTAGACCACAGTGACTTACTGGGTATATAAAGGATTAAGTAGTCTCTCAAATGCTTTGGGTGTAAGTGTAACTGAATTGTCTGTGTTCCAGACTTTGTAGTTTGTACTGCCGTTGCAATTTTGGTTATCTTGGTCTATGGACTTGCGGTGAACATTATCTAGCTAAGGATTTAAGTCTTTAACAAAACATGTTAAAATTGTCAAAACGACAAAGAATCTTGTTAGTTTGTTTCAACTACGGCAGACCAACACGGCTACCTACCTGTAAAGAATCTTGTGTTATGTTAAGGACTAACAAATTGTTTTATTTGCTATGCTTGTTAGTTGCTTGTTACACAGAGGTGTCCAAGAGACTTAAAACATGTTTAAAAACATTATAATATTGACACATTCGTACTAAAATGCATGCAATTTATAGAAAACCTACAACAACATCCCTACTGGCAGCACAGTAAAAGCAAATACATCATCATAATAGTCCATCAACAGCCTGGTGGGGGAGGAGTGAGTTATGTTTTTACCAGGCACCGTAAAGATGTCAGTGAAGGTACCAGGCAGATCTCAATAGGGAGAATGTTCCGCAGATGGGGGCTGCAACTGTAAAGGCATAAGTTTTCATGGATTTCATTTCATCTGATATAAGTCCATGGAAACATATTTCAAAATAAATGGTCGATCTTTAAAGTGCCACAAGGATCTTAGGTTTTTTTTGCTGCAACCAATGAACTCTGTCACCCCTTTAGAAATTGCTAAAGTAGTCAGCTACCAATAGAATTCATGTTTGCAAGTTACGTTTCATTTGATTTTTCTTCCACCTCCACTGCTATATTACCGGTAAGTGCAATGATGTACATTCATTAAATCAAAGCCCAAAACTTTCCTAATTGTGAAAAGAAAATTCAAATTTGGGGCATAAATCTTAGTCTGAGCGACACTTTTCAGCAGATGCTGAGGAATTTTTCAGTTTCAAAAAAGCAAACTAACTGTAGTGTATTTAAATCCCAAATAAATATAGAAAACTATAAATTCTTTTGGCAGAATCACTTTGCTCTCTGCTAATCTCTGTTAAGAATGCCAATATGAGATGGCTTTTTAAAAAATAGTTCAAGAATGATGTAATTATTTTTCTTTTTCTCTAAACAAAATACGACTGCTTTCAGATGGCTGAAAAGAATAATTGTACACAGTTTCACACATTCCTCTTTCATTTATATACCCACTTTGTACTTCAGTAACTAAATCCTTGAGGAATGCTGGGCATTGATCTTCAGAGATTTAAAGAAAACTGTTTAATTTGTGGTAAGAGATTTAGCTTTTTTTTTTTTTTTAAACTTTGTTAACCATTTCAGTTAAGAAGAAGTTCTGTGGTTTTTGAAAATTAGGTTCAAAGATTATGCAAGATATTTTTCATAGAATTATGGAATACTTTTGTCAAATCTGATTTTGAAGTAACTTTGGCTGGGTTAAGATTTCTACCTTCTACTTTTCATTCTCCTTCCTTCCTTTTTAAAAAAAAACTAAACCAATTTACATTCTAATTACAGAATGCATACACAGCAACAGCCATAAATGGGACATACTTTTGGACCTCAGCAGAAGATGCTGCTGTTATTTTATCAAAAAGTTCAGCTAATGCCACAGCAATCAGCTGCTTCAGTGACTTTGTTATATTTCTAGGAAAGGTAAAACCTTATTATCACTGTGCCATTGATTATTAACTGAAAATACTGTCTTGTCAATATTTTGTGTAACAATGGAATTCAAAAATCTCAAAGCTCAGTTCTCCTCTCATGGCAATTAATATTGCTCCTTACTTGAAATCTGCCCTAATCAGTACAGTATAATATATAGAAATAAATTAGGATTCATGAGTGATGTTTATAGAGTAATAACAAAGTTTAAAATTTTTAAGTAAACAGGGAAGTCCTGTTTGAGTTGGGTTGGGCATTCTGCAATATTGTGACTTGGCATTATATGAGTTTGAGTTGCAGTGCCTTTCCTTTGCGCCCTCCCTGACCTCCTATTTTGTGTGAGTCAGAAGGGCAAGCACTAGGAGAAAACTAATACCCCACCTGAAGACATCTTAAGAATACCTTACAGATAAGGTCCTTTTGTGCACACTGTAGTTTCTCCAGTCCTGTTGTAGTAGCAAGCTGGCAAATTGTTGTGATGTTATAACTCAGAGGGAATCAGGCTGCACAAGGAGAGGAAGGAGATAATCGCACAAGCATGAGGCTTGTTCATGTAATGCCAAACCATAATTTGCCATTACATCTGAAGCAAGCATTGGAAAATGGTGCTGCTTTCCTCAAGCAGTTAATAGTCTTAATTTAAGATAATATACAGATAAGAATTAAAAAGAACAAAGCAAACAATTTTGCAAGCAGTGGGAAGGTTTGAAATAAGACATTCCCTGTAATCTTTTGAATGCAATAATCTCTAAATGCTAAATACACTTAAATGTTTTGGTCATCTTTGGTGAGTGAAGTCTGCAATAGCTTCTTCTGAAATATAGTCTCTACATTTATTTTCATACAGGTGTTTGTGATATGTTTCACAGTTTTTGGAGGTTTGATGGCATTTAACTACAACCGTGAATTACACGTTTGGGTAGTTCCACTGCTGCTGGTTGCTTTTTTGGCTTATCTCATCGCCCACAACTTCTTATCAGTATTTCAGACAATAGTGGATGCCCTATTGCTTTGCTTTGCTGTTGACAGAGAAACAAATGATGGATCTGCAGAGAAGCCTTACTTCATGGACCAAGAATTAATGGTAAGCAGTTAGACAAAACTTTAGCTTGGGCAAGTAAGCAGGCACTTCTGTAGGTCTGTTCACACCGGAATAATCTTTGCCATGTTTTTGGCCACAGAGGTGGAGATGAGCCTGGTCTCAGTCACCTTCCTGGGGTTGGGGAGAGCTTCACTTAGAGGAGATGGAATTGAAGTTGCATCGGTGGTTGTGCCTCTGCTTTAAGGCTATGCAATAACAGTGAGGTGGGACTCTCTTCAGGCAACCCATTAGGTCCCTCCCCAGCATCCAGATCAGCTCCTTCTAGACAGGGTTCAACTCCACATTCTCACTCCAGTCCTTTGGAGTGAGAGCAGCCCTGCCAAGAAGTCTCTACAGGGCTTATGACAGAATCAGATTGGGTTTACATCCAGATAAGTGTGTGTAGGATTACTGTCTTAATATGATGTGCAGTACAATCTGGTGCACGTTTACTCAGATAATCCCTATTATGCTCAGTGGGTTTTACTCCCAGGTGTTTGTAGGATTAAAGCCTTAAACAATTCCTTCTATTGTTGACATCCTGTGATGTATGTATGATTCTTTTAGAGTGGTCTTTGGCTAAGGGGTTGGGCAGTTTCAAAAGTCTTTAAAGGTTCCTGCATACTTGGTTCTTGGTCTCTCTTACCTCCGTGCAAGGGGAGGAGAGAACTCTGTTGCAACAGAAAAATAAAGATCTGCCTTGCTTTCACTTCATCCTGCCTCCGCCCATTCATCTATGACCGATCATGGACCTGGGGGACTCAGTCCCTTGGGGAGTTGGGCAGCAACAAGTGACCCCCCCCCCATTTTTCTACAACACATCTTAAGGTATAAAAGCTAACAACATAATCCTAAACAGATTTAACAGGAAACCAGTCCCACTTATTTTCAGTGGGTCCTCCTGCTAATATCTTTAGCATTTCAGCCTTAAGTACCAATTCTATATGTTTATACAGATAAAATCACATTCATTTTAATAGGAGTTCCTGATAATTGTGCTTAGGAGTATAGTTTTAATTATATATTTTAATTACAGTAGTGCCTCGCAAGACGAAAATAATCCGTTCCGTGAGTCTCTTCGTCTAGCGGTTTTTTCATCTTGCGAAGCAACCCTATTAGCGGCTTAGCGCTATTAGCGGTTTAGCGGCTATTAAAGGCTTAGCGGCTTAGAAAAAGGGGGGAAGCGAAAAAAATCGCAAGACTCGCAAGACGTTTTCGTCTTGCGAAGCAAGCCCATAGGGAAAATCGTCTTGCGAAGCAACTCAAAAACGGAAAACCCTTTCGTCTAGCGGGTTTTTAGTCTTGCGAGGCATTCGTCTTGCGGGGCACCACTGTATATACCAACATTTCTTGGTGTGAGAGTATGCAAGTGTTTGAGTAAAAAGTTGGTCCAGTAGAACATGAAATGCAAGACCAACAGAACAGCACTGATATTTTCCTCAACTGTTCTTCTATCAAGAGGTCTAGAAAAGGACAACCAAATTGATCAAGGAGGTGGAGAAACTCCATGATCGTAACATTTGGGGCTTTCTAGTGTAGAAAAAAAGTGAGTTAAGAGGAGACGCAATCGAGGTGTATAAATTTATGAAGAAAGTGAATGAAAAAACATCTTTCCTCCCTCATAACATTAAAACTCAGAAATATCCAATGAAGTTGAATATTGGAAAATTTAGGATGGAGAAAAAAGTACTACTACACACACTGCATATTTAAACCATGGAATTCACTTTCAGAATGTGAAAGGCCACCTGGGTGGCTTTAAAAGATTAGACAAATGCATGGACAGTAAAGCTATATTCTGCCTCCACTGTTGGAGATAGCATGCCTCTGAATGCCAGCTGCTGGGAATCACTATTGGGGAAAGTGCTATTGTGCTGAAGTCCTACTTTCAGACTTCCCATAGGCATCTGGTTGGCCACTGTGACAACAGGATGCTAAAATAGTTGGGCCGTTAGCCTCATCCAGCAGGTGATTCTTATGTTCTTAAGGGCAGATATTTTCCTTTTGCAAATATCTGTATTACCGCAGAAAACATCAGCTTTGGCTAAAAAGAATCAGAAGTAGGTTGTCAATCAACTGGTTGTTTTGTTCTTTGTAGAACTTTTTGGATCAGAGCAGCAAGTTTGCAGAGAACACACACGGAAATAAAAATATCCTTCATAACAAGGAATATGGCACAGAACTTCAGCCTATGGTAAGAAACAAGTAAATGCCATAATATATGGACATCAAATAACAAGGTGTATTTTCTTTGCAGTACAAATGTATTTTATACTTTGTGTTTCCAGTACAGTACTTCTAGAGGGGGGAGGAGGATACTTTTGGAAGAATTATTCCTAATTTCAGAGTGGGATATTTTGCTTGTGTAAGCAGAACACGCTTTAGCATCATCTTTCTGTTTGAAAGCCAAGCATAGTGGGTACACGAGCATAGCGCTACGTTCTGATATGTAATCTTCCCAGACCATATTAGGTATATACCAGAGGATTAGGCTGCCATGACCTGTTTCTTCAATGTCATTACATTCTTCCATTGAATAATGTAATTTTCCTTAAGCTGTATTCTACATATTTACCATAAAAAAGGAGGGGTACTGTCTGCTTGTGTGTTAATGAGATCAAGTTTTAAAATCAGCAACAAAAACAGCACTAACAAATTGCTGTTTTCCCTGTGCCCCCTCTTTTACATGGGCATCTTTAAGGTAGTGCACAGATAAAGTATATAATATGTAGTTTCTCCTAAAAATAGTAGCAGCATCTTTAAAATGTTTCTGACATAATTTCACTCTAGTGTCCACTTAAAAAATTAGAATTTTTGAAACAAACTAGTGTATCTGTAGCATAATTGACTTGAGTTTTGAAAAAATTGGGGTTTTTTCTGAGCATGGTTTTTACAGTAGCAGCCATCTTTTTTCTGCCAAAATAGTTTTTGCCAGGAAAGAAAAACTGCACGTAGTGCTCATGTTGTAAGCCCTGACAGAGCTTAGGCTCTTGCATATTTTTTCTTTTCAGAACTTTCTGGTGCATGGAAATAAGCCAGTCAGGCAGTCTGGAAGTGTGGTTTTAAGTTTATTGTGTTTATGACTGGCTGTACTTGGCTTTCTCATTGTATGTGGGTCTTTGAGTATTTTTGCCAAAACAAAAGACACACGTACGCCAGCAGAATAATCTGAAGTATTATTTCTACGTCAATCTTTCTCTTTTTATCTCTTCATACGCTTTGTGTTGCTTTACAGACTTTGTCTTACCATTATGACTAATCCGATGCATTTTTCTTTTTCGCTAACTATAGGCCAGAACTTGAGATGGTTCTAAAAGTACACAGCAAAATTCAGATAAAAGTGAAGGTTACGAATATTTTGAGATAAATTATCTCCTAAATCAGTTTGTACCTCTTGCACTGGAAGAGATGATCAACTCACTCTAACTCTGTGAAAAACTAAAAAAATCATTATGGTATGGTTTTATTGAAATAGTATTTAAAGATGTTTTATACTAATTATCAAATCTGTAAGTTTTTTGCACTTCGACATGATAAAACTGTCTTTTTGGTATAAAGCCCCTTAAGAAAGCACCATGAAATTGATTCAGCAACTTTTATATAAAAGTAACTCACAATTTACGTGCATTTAATTTGTGTGCATTCAGTTTTATGCACTTGGCAAAAAAACTGTAGAAAAAAATTAAATGGGGTTGGTGTCTGAGGAAAAGACTTTGGCAATCCCACCTGCCATTGAACCCAATGTGTTTTTATTACACTTGATTTTGGCTTTGCATCCTATCCCTGGAATGTAGGCACAGCGTAAGTTGGGAGTCACCTGTATACAATGCAGCCTGGATAACATCTAAACTGTGAATAATCATGTCATAGATTAAGAAGCAGTGCTAGTTAGAGGGTCCCCTATGGTAAGGAGTACGTTGTGGAATCATGTTATCTAGGAATTTTTGGTAATGTTCATATGATTAGGTTCCTTCCATTGCAGTCCTTTATGGAGAACATTGTGCATGTCCTAAATTAACAAAACCATTGATGTCCTGAAGAACAATTGTATCCTGCAAAGGAGAATCAGTGATCAGTCAAGAAGGCAAGTCTTTAACAACAAAGACCAAGAGGTTGGGAATATGTGCTGTATGCATTCCTTTTATTTTGGCATCCTTCAAGGGACAAAGCCTCATTAAATTAGACATATCTATAGGCGCTATCTGGGTAAGTAATTGTACTATTTCTATACAAGAGTATTTTATGATAAACTTATGTCCCATTACATCAAATGATGATCCCAAACTACTAGTAGTCTGTTTGCTAAAAGAGTAGTCATTTTCTTTGTGTGCAGAGGGCAAGATGCAGCCTGACCCTCTACTGGTTTGCATATTAAGTTATGTGGCACACAACTCAGACAAGCCCTTATTTCCCAAAGAACATCTGCATAACAGGCCTTTTCCCCCTTTCTGAGCAAAACCACCTCTTTAAAGTCTCAAAAGCATACTGCTGGCTGCAAGTAAATTTTGCCTTGAATCTCTCTGGATTCTAAACTTTTGGCAATGAACTCTCTTTTACAAGTAAAAGTTATAAGCAGCAAGGTAGAATCAACATGAGTGCATTATTTCCAATCTCCAATGAATTGTTTTGTTGAAAAGGAAAGAATACATTTTGGATAAGTTATAAACAAAGGGACAGTTGTAAATGTTTTCTGTAATTTGAATTTTGTATTTAATAACACAAGTTATCACATGCCTCCAAGAAAACATTTATTTATAAAAAATACAACAAGATCGGTTTATGATGAGAAATGTGGCAATAAATACAATTCAAAGAAAAGGCAATTCTACATGGATACATTATGGCACAGGAAATAAAAGTCAACGCACCATCAAAACATGGAGACTTCTGTGGGCTCAGAATTTATACAAGCTCCCTTTTTAAGCAAGACAGCTCTTTTTCTATAAGCTTGGTCAATTTAGATATTGGAATGGAACACACACAATCACAAATGCACATTTATTATGTCTACTGTGAGTTTAGAGGTTAGCAAGCAAGTACTTATGAACAGACAGAAATCTTGCAGGTAATAAGCCACAACCTCAGTTTTTGTGGCATGGTCCACAATTAAGTCTTACAGTTTTCCACATAATGGAACTGTAAATAAAAACATTTTTAAAAAAGGAAAGGGCTGATATAGTATGTAAAATGCTCATTTCAGAACAAGGTTGTAAAAAAATGCATAGTTTTTATTATTAAAAGACTTGGCTGTATAAGAGAACTCCCCCTTTCACAGTATTCCTTTTTACTTCATATGCAGTTATTGTTATGCTGTAGACTGCAACTGTTACAGCACTAAAGGCAACTAGAGAAGGAAAGGGCAGAGAAAGGAAAAAGGAATGTTATGTAAGGCAATTATTTCCTTAGGTACATGAAGCATAATGTGTAAAGACGGGTAACAATTCCACAAGGCTAGTTTCGTTCTTTACTGAATAAAATAATAAACTAATACTGAGCTTTTGAGGCAAATCTAATAATCAATGCCCTGGTCACTGTACTGACCGTGATAATCTCTCTGATACTCATCTTGGTATTCGCCGTGATAGTCATCTGGATATTCTGCCTGATAATCGCTATCGCTGATTTCTGACCCATTAGTTCCTGTTCCTTGACTTCCATTATGAATGACAGGTTCTGTTGGTGCAGCACAATACTTTGGATCATATACTTGCCGTCCAAGCCCATAAACGCTCATCCCTTTCTGGGAAGCCACTTTGTTGGTGCCCATTTGTAGTGAAATAGTGGTGTTGTCCATGGGTTGTAATGTGAGCTTCTGGTCATAAATGTCTCGTCTTGTACCTGGTGCAAGCATCCCTGCCTAAAAACAAAGGATTTAAAGCAGTTTGAACAGCATTGGGACTTTTAAAATAATAATGAGTGATGGCAGGAATGCACGTGTGCATAACATTTTCCAGATACTAAGCTACTCAGCATGGAAGTCTCCTAAGTGAGATTCAGCAAGCAACAGACTCCTCATCCCATCACAGAAATCAGAATAAAGCACATTAGGAAGAAGCTATGGGTGCATGCTGAGGATCTTCACAATTTTGTATGTGTATTGCAAGGATGAAGAGCATCCTAAGTGATTATAAACTGGGTAAGGAATTTCACAGCCTCTTTGATTATTCTGAGCTGCAGGCTACATCTTACCCCAAAGCTATTTAACTTCTATATGAAGCTGTTAGGAGCAGTTATTAGGAATTTGCAGCACAATGTCACCAGTATATGTTGATATCTATTGTGGGTTAGTAGGTTTCAAGTTCAGGAAATGGGTCATATTGCCTTTTCTGAATAGGGTTGCATTCCCCTTGAAGGAGCAAGTTTGTAGTTAGGAAGTACTCATTGAATTGTGTTTGTCAGCAACTGCAAAGCCCCCTCACACAGCTTCTGTCCTATGTGTAAAGCAGACTGTGCTCCCACACATTAGCTGATGCACATCTTGACCAACCAGGATTTACCTCTGTGTGAGAGAGCTGGTTTCAGGGAACTCTCATGCACTGGAACCCAGTGCTAAACAGGGCTGACCTTGTACATCAGCTGATATGTGGGGTCCATCCAGTTTGATCTAGGTGTGAGAAGAAACTCATGTACCTGAACCTGCCAAGCTTCAAAGAGGATTACATTGGACCAGCTGCCACAATGAAGAAAAGCTTCCTTTTAGCAGCACCTTGCTGCCATAGATGCTCTGAAGTCTCAACTTTCAAAGTTATACCCACCAATCATAATTGGCCCTTTAGGAAGATCCTGGTAAGAATCTGGCCCACGGATCAAAAAAGGTTATCTCCCCCCCCCCCAATGCTACAGATTACATTATTCTAATGCACACAGAAATGGTGTGGAAGCTGCAGCTAGTGCAAAATGCTGGTCTAGAAATATTTTAAAATAAATAAAATACCAAACAATGAAAGATAAAGTTTAGGACTGCAGAAACAAATATCTTAAATATGAAAGTAACTTTTCCTTACCTGACTAGCCCCTTTGTTAGTACCCATCTGCAGGCTTATTGTTGTCTGGTCAAATGGTTTATCAGTTTGCATCTTTGGATCATAGAGATGTCTCCTAGTCCCATAGGCAGTCATGCCTGCCTGGCTGGCACATTTATTGGTTCCCATCTATAAAGAGAATGAGGATCACTTGAAGAAAGGAGTTCTGATTGAGAACTACCACAAGTAAATGTACTATACTAGGCCAGTGTATTGAAGAATGTAACATATATAAGTTGTGGTGGTGTGCTCAGTGCAGGGAGTTCCTGGTTCCCAGGGAATAAGTCCGTTTCCTTCAGATAGCAGACCTTAGAAGGTGAGAGAAACAGAGAGTAGACCTTCAAATACACGGTAGGAGCATCCTGCTCCTAGAGCTAACAGCTCTTCTGCAGAATGAAGTTCTTAGGGCATGGCGTGGGAAATGATCCTTTAAGAGGGGACATGTTATTTAGTGACTTCCCTAACTTGTCTGAAGGTTGCAGACATCACATATTGTCTAAATAGTATGGGAGAGCAGTCATGGTACACATTGACACCAACAACCTTGGGAAATGTTTGTTAGGCATGTTGTAATCGAAGATCTCTGTGGCAATATTTTTTTCAGAAATGCAGCCTCTTCCAGAGCTGGCATGTATCAATAGGAGGATGTTGATGGAAGGAAAGGTTTGAGTTTTCCAGGCACTGGAGAATTTTGAACTCCAGTGGAACTAGACTGCTGGTGCTTAATATTGAAAAGGTTGTAGCATAGCTTTTAAACAGACTTGTAGGAGGTGGGATGCATCTAGAATGGATTAAGGAAAGGTGTGTAAATGCTCCAGGGATTTGAGGTAGAGAAAGGGAAGAATTTTGCAATGAGTGTACTGAGGAACAGTTTAAAAGGACTGTAGAGGTAAATAAGCAAACCAAACATATTTGGAAAGGAACACCATTTAAAATATATGCTAATTCTAGAAGCTTCCAAGTTGAGATGAAGTTGGCTGGTGCTAAATTAGAATCATAGATACAGTAGATGGATCAGAAATCTGGTGGAAAAGAAAGAATCAGTTGTATACATTTATCCCTGCATCTAAACTACAGAAAAGAAAACAAAGGGTTTATTAGAGTAGTGTTAGAGTCAACTATATTAACTTCAAAGGAACAACAGAATGGGTGCCTTTATGCCCTGGTTTGGGCTCCTTGGAGGTGTATCCGTTTGGTTCCTGTGGGAAGCAGAATGTTGCAGTATATAAAACTTTGTTACCCTCATCTTATGTTCTTAGATATTTCTTTTTAGTTGAAATCTTAATACAAAAAGTACTAAGATGATGTGTGACTGCAGAGAGGGTTGTTCAAAGATTAGTTACAGAGAGCCAACCTGAAATCTTCATGACTGTATTCTACTCTACAAATTACATTGAGTGGTGTGGTAGAAATTGCCTCCATGGTGTTCCTACACCATACCAGTAACATGTGTAACTTCAGCTGTGTAATTACAGTGCCAATCCAACTGATTACATGAACAGAAGATTCACACATTACTGAGTAGCACAGGAATAACAGAGGCAGTGTTAATCACGCTTTTCATGTTAACAGGTAAACCAGATCTATGATGGACTAAAATAGAGCAATTCTACTGTGACCTACCTTATTCTTCCTCATGTATATAGCTTCTTCATGTTGCTGCTTACCTGGAGGGACAAAGTGATGGCGAGGTTGGAGCTATGCAGATGCACCAGAGGAAATGCCAGATTGGCTCTGCCAGGGCTTTGCCCCTCCAAGTAAACAGCAGCAAATGCCTCAGCAGGCTATTGCTGTGGCTCAAAGCCACTCCTGCTGTTTACTAAGCATAAATAATTGTCCATTACACCTTAAAAAGTTTTCCTGTGTATACTGATTTACAGCACAATCCCATGGACTCAGAAAGCAGCCCCATTGAGTTCAGTGGGGCTTGCTCCCAGGTATGTGTGTACAGGATTGCAGCCTTAGTGAACTTTCAACTTTTCTGCTTACCTGCAAACCAATCACACTTTGTCCAGCCTTCAGTTTTCCTGCATCAAAACTTCTTGCTTGCTTTTCTGCGTATTTGACACCAATATCGATTGTAGTATGAAAGCCTTTGGTTTTTGCCTAGGAGGAGAATAAAATAACAGCATTTCTAATATACATTTTATACAGGAATACCATTCATATCACTTGCTTTTGGTTGTCCTTGATTTAACAATTTCGTGTTCAATTTTAAACCAATTAATGCAGGGGTCAGCAAACTTTTTCAGCAGGGGGGCAGTTCACTGTCCCTCAACCCTTGTGGTGGACTAGACTATATTGGGGGGGGGATGAACGAATTCCTATGCCCCACAAATAACCCAGAGATGCATTTTAAATAAAAGGACACATTCTACACGCTGATTCACGGACCATCCGTGGGCTGGATTTAGAAGGCAATTGGGCCACATCTGGCCCCCAGGCCTTAGTTTGCCTACCCATGAATTAATGGATAATTGATTGTATAGTTTCAAGAGCTACTTGGCAACAGAGGTGAAGGCATGGATAACATACCACAACTTCTGCAGGCCAAGCTTCATATTTGGTTTTACCAAGAGTAATACAATATAGCTGCTAGACAAGTAGATCAGTGTAATGCACTGGACTGCATATGTCATTATGTACATACCAGACCTGCTAGTGCCACCAGTGATGTCTGAACCTGGGTCATATTTCCGTTTTCAAAGAGATCATTTGCTTCAAATATATCATGTGGTTTCATGCCATATTGTTGTATGGCCTTTATAAAATTCCCAATGTTCTCCAGCTGAAATTAAATAAATGCATGATGGTCTTAGTGTTTGATGATATTGTTACATAAGGCAGAACTAAATACTGTATGAGAAAGTATGTAATAAACTTGGAAGTTTTTTAAAAATAAAGAAAGCCACTTCGTAATTGGTTTCAAGCCACTGGGGTTGCTTAAACCTTTACCTGACCTGTTCTCCACTCTAAAATTCCCCCTTTCATTCCTACTTCTCTTTTTAAAGTGGCTGTCAGGATTTTCTTACACATGCTTGCATGTTTTTGGTTTTTGGTTTAATTCTATTCCCCCTGTTTCTCAAAGGAGCCTCAAGATGGCTTAAACAATAATAACAACTGAATAAAACAATATCTTTAAAAAATGCCAATACACATTCAAACATTAATAATACCCAGTCTGTTTTAACAAATTTCAGCAACACAAAAGTAAAATGGAACTCAGCCAGCATAAATTACAAAATTAACCAAAAGTTTATTTAAAGAGTCAGAGCTTCAACAGCTACCAGAAGCAGTATAGTGATAGGGCCTTACATACATCATTCAGCAAGGCATTCAATATAGTAGGTGCCACAACATAAAATACCCTGTCCCTAGGTGACAGACACCAGCCCTGCTTCCTGAGGCTGAAGGATTTGGAGCAGAGCCCAGATGACGATTGGGAGTGTACAGAGAGAAACGTGGAAGGAGGCGGTTCCTAAGGTGCCCAAGTACCAAGTGCCATTATGCACACAATGCAGAGATGGACTCATAGGTTCAAGATTGTTTTAAGCTTGTTTTAAGCACTTGAAGAAAAAGCTTCCTGCCTTTGAGCTATAAATGAAATCCGCAAAGAATCTAGGCCGATAAAGATCTGATGGTTAGCACGCACACTCTTAACTCCTTAATTTTGTTTTACTTTGTTCAGATCTGCCAAACTGGCAGGTCTAGTTTTATTCTAGTTTTCCTACTGTATGCCAGCAGTTGTTTAAATCCAGTTTTCAGTGAGAGACAAAGTTTCTCAAGAAGGCAAGTGTTCTACTATGACCTTTCCTGTCTCAGTATCTATTTTCAATTTCATTTTGTATTGCCCATTTATTCTTTCCTGATTTGTGCAATATGGGTAATTACATTTGTTCCTGTAGTTCTATGGGTCATTTATTTGGAAAGCAAGTACAATGGACCAGATTCCTTGGACAATTAATAATTTAAAAGTGTATATAGCTGTAACGGGGGGGGGGGGCAGAATAGAAGGGCATTTGCGAAGAGAAAAAGATTTCACCAAGCCTAATGAAGTTGTAATCAAACCCACCACTTCTCTAGTTTCTACAATAATTGTCTCGTTTCTTAATATTCTACTCCCATAAATATTAAATTACCAGGTTTGGTACTTTCAATGGTATTCTAATAGTACAAAGAGAAGCTTTATACTGTTTAATCATTAATGCTTGCAAGGTGAACAATTGCTGTTTCCTCAAAAATAAATCAGTAAAGGCGAAGGTGTTGAAGGCCTCAATGTGACAATAGCTGTCATTAAGCTTTCATTCATGCATTTTCTCTCTCCTTCAGAGAGAGACACTATATTATTTGAATACAGTATTTAAATTAGTTTGTTTACCTGATGCCAGTTTAGTTTGGATTGATTGATTTTCTTTACTGATCCTGGGTGAAGTTTGTTGATAAGCCTGTAAAAAACAATCAAGTAAATAAACTGCCTTTCTTTTCGCATAGCCACCACCAATTTTAATCTCCATATTACAGCACTACTAATGCACAGATAAAAACCAATATATAGTTGTACCTTGGAAGTTGAACGGAATCCATTCTGGAAGTCTGTTCAACTTCCAAAACGTTCGAAAACCAAATTGCGACTTCTGATTGGCTGCAGGAGCTTCCTGCAGCCAATCAGAAGCTGCAGAAGCCCCATCATACACTGGGCTTCCAAAAGAGCATTCATATACAGGAACATTCACTTCTGGGTTTGGGAGCCAAAACGTCCGAATTCCAGGGCATTTGGGATCCAAGGTATGACTGCATATTTTATTTGTACGTACAGCTTATTGGAAGGCAGTTTGCATAATAGGCATGCTGGTATAGCCACTTTAGAAGGGACTTGAGCCACATATCTGAATGTCCTCCTTGGGGGGCGAGGAGGAAGAAAATGAGAATGTCAGGAAAAACATGCCATCCTGTGTGATGAATTTGTTACATTTTAAATTCCTATAAATTTTAAATACACTCATAAATGGAAATGAGTGATTCATGGGGGGAACAGTGTGAGTGAGCAAACCCGTTCACCCTTTCTGCCCTATCTCATTGCAATCTGTTGCTTTAAGCAGCTTTCCCCTTGGCTCACTTCTGGAGTTTGAGCTAGGCTGGTGGAAAATTGCTTGAAGCAGCTGAGCACAATGAAGTAAGGGAAGAAGACAAAGAATGTTGTTTCTCGCTTCATGTGCTGCTTTTTGTATCAAGGGCAGATCTCTTTCTTAACATGTGAACAGGCCCTTAGAAACACGATTAGATAGGCTCAACAACATTGGTTTCCATAAAAAGATCCAACAAGTTTGTGGGTGTCAAGAATTTTACTTTTTGAAATATGGCACCCCTAGCAACACTTAGTAATTTTACTGGAAACCACAGGATGGGAGTGTTATTCTGCTTGGATCCTACTTGCAGGTTTCCACAGACATCTGGTTGGCCACCATAAGAACAGAATGCTCCACTAAATGGACAATTGGCCTGATCTAGCTGGCTCTTATGCTGATTTTAATTGCTCTTTGGCAGGGAAGGTTCTGGTATATTCCCTTTTCAGTGTTGCTTAGAAGACACACTAGTGATACCAGTGCTATTTATTGTTTGTGTTTTGTTTTTTAAGAGGAAGAGAAAAGGCAGAGAGAAAGAGTTGCCAGTTATAACGGACAACAGTGTTCTTTTATTTTTAAAAGTCATGTAGAAAATATTTTGGTAGGTGCAACTTTTATTTATGCAAGGGCAGCTGCATCTTCCAACATTACCTGTTCTATACACCTGTTAAAAGATAGCAGTCCTGCCCTCTTTTGTGTATTGTAATTCTAAAAGAGAGAGAGAGAGAGGTGGGCATATCCAGGGAATGGCGAAACAGAACCCTGCCAGGGGCGCAAAATCACCCCCGAATGCTCCGACTTGAGGAAAGAGTTACTTGTGTGAGGTGAGAGGCATGACAGGCAAGTTTTTTGGATTACAATTGCCTCAGAATAAACTGAGATTGGGCGGGGGTAGGGGTGACAGGATGACTAGTGTTGCCACTGCTGTCTTCATGCTCACTACTGACAGGGGCTTTTAACTTCTCCCAACTTTTGTGTGGAGCCCTCAAAGCCCCCTCTCCCCAGGGGACCCAACTAGACCCTGCCTGCCTGGCTCCCTGCTTGTTCGTTGAGATGGAGGGCTCAGCCAATGGCTATTGCAGTAAAGTGATGGGGGTGGGTGGTGCTGATACAGTTCTCTACAAAGGGTGCAAGGGACCCTAGTACATCTTTGGGTATATCTGGTAAAATAATAATGGGGGGGGGGAATCACACTGTGTCCTAGAATTAAATGTGGATCTTATTTCTGAAAAAGTTGGCTACTGGCCTAGAAACTAAAGAGCTCTGCCTGAAATAAAACATGATGTGGCTTACTCGCACAGTATGATGCCATCCTTTAAACCCAATTGAAAGTTGGCTCCAATGCTCATGCCAGTAACTTCTTCAATCCAGTTGCGGAGATCTTCCTCTATCTGTGGATCATATTTCAAAGCAATCTGCAATACAAAATAATGATCAATTCAACACTTTCTCTGATTTTAATAATGCAAAATTCATATTTGATTAGACAAGGATATTTTATAAAAGCATCTGAAAATGGATCCAGTGCTATCCCAGAAATCAGCGTCACTAATTAGCATAAAGTATTACAGTATTTATCATTCTAAACCCTCATGATAATTTTCAGCTGTTCAAATAAATCAAAGGGTTTTTTCTTTGGAAATCTCTTGTCTAATGTCTATTCTGTTCATAAGCAAACTCTGCTGATGCAAGTATTCACTGAAATTCTACATGACCTTCCTTGTATGTCATTCTGTTCACTTAGTAGACCACTTGCATCACAGCTGATTCATAACATAAATTAACAGTTCAGCACTATAGCAACAGTAAACAGTAAAAAGAAAAAAATACATTCCAATACCAAATTTTAAAACCACTTTTGCATTATATTACCCCATTCCCATTCATTTATCATTTGGAAAAGTACAATGTTACACACAAGGAGGGAAAGAAAGAAAATCTGGAGCAAATCTGAGTCAGAGAAGGCAGTTAGCAATGCAATCCAATGTATGTTTATTTGGAAATAAATTCCATTAAGTTCAGCAGGGCTTGCTCCCAATTATGTGTGCACAGGATTGCAGCATAAGGGTAAAAAAAGACTGTTCTTTCCGCTTCTAGTTGTATATGTAGATACACCTCAAATTAAAGAAAAACCTAACATACAAACTCAAATCACAGATTTGTTACTCTTTAACATACTTTTGGGCAGTTAATAAGCAGAGTTGCTTGCTGATGAATAGTAAAAGAAAATTGCCCCCTCTAGTCCTCACACTGATTATTCTAAGTTGGATTAGGAGAGGTAATATTTTACTCTTTTACTGATATTCCTGCTTAACAAGGAGTAAGATATGTATGTTCTCCAAGTCTCTCAGAATCTGTAGGCCGTGTGCCGAGCCAATATTTCACAGTAATACACAGTGTACTCTCTGCTTGTATGGTGTTGCTACGAAACACAGCAACATGTGAAATGATGGGTACAGCATCTAAGAAACGTGTTTACTTTTTGCATTCAGTTTTGAGACATCAATAAAAACAAATGTGGCTCTTGTTTCAATATCACCTTAATAAAGCAACAATATTACAGTACAATCCCTACAGCCTTCCAAATAATAATAATAATAATAATAAATTTTATTTATATCCCGCCCTCCCCAGCCGAAGCCGGGCTCAGGGCGGCTAACAACACTAAAATAGTGCAACATTATAAAACATCATAAGAATTAATTAAAATCAAAATTGATGGCAACCATAAACTAAAGTATTGTAAAGATTGCCAAAGGAGGGAGTCAGGCTGTGCCCTAACCAAAGGCCTGGTGGAACAGCTCTGTCTTGCAGGCCCTGCGGAAAGATGTCAAGTCCTGCAGGGCCCTTGTCTCTTGTGACAGAGCGTTCCACCAGGTTGGAGCCGCAGCCGAAAAAGCCCTGGCTCTAGTTGAGGCCAGCCTAACCTCTCTGTGGCCTGGGACCTTCAAGATGTTTTTATTTGAGGACCGTAAGTTCCTCTGTGGGGCATACCAGGAGAGGCGGTCCCGTAGATACGAGGGTCCTAGGCCGTGTAGGGCTTTGAAGGTTAAAACCAGCGCCTTAAACCTGATCCTGTACTCCACCGGGAGCCAGTGCAGCTGGTATAGCACCGGATGAATGTGATCCCGCAGCGAAGACCCCGTAAGGAGTCTCGCCGCGGCATTCTGCACCCGCTGGAGTTTCTGGGTCAGTCTCAAGGGCAGCCCCACGTAGAGCGAGTTACAATAATCCAGTCTGGAGGTGACCGTCGCGTGGATCACAGTGGCTAGGTCAGGGCGAGAGAGGTAAGGAGCCAACTGCTTAGCTTGGCGGAGATGAAAAAATGCCGCCTTTGTTATAGCTGCAATCTGCGCCTCCATGGAGAGGGAGGTATCGAAGATTACACCCAAACTCTTAACGGACGGTGCTGGCACTAATTGCACCCCCGCAAGAGATGGGAGTTGCCCCCTCAATCCCATATCGTCCCGTCCCAGCCAGAGGACCTCTGTCTTCGAAGGATTTAACTTCAACCGGCTCCCACGTAACCATCCAGCCACAGCTTCCAAGCATCTGATCAGTGTGTCTGGGGCCGAGTCAGGATGGCCATCCATCAACAGATAGAGTTGGGTGTCATCAGCATACTGATGGCAACCCAGCCCAAAACTCCGGACAAGCTGGGCGAGGGGGCGCATAAAGATGTTAAAAAGCATCGGGGAGAGAATCGCACCCTGAGGCACTCCACACACCAAGGAGTGGCGGGATGACAGTTCCCCCCAAGCGCCACCCTCTGTCCCCGACCAGAGAGAAACGAGCGCAGCCATTGAAGGACTGTGCCCTGGATCCCCACGTCGGCGAGGCGGTGGTCCAGAAGTTCATGATCAACCATGTCGAAAGCTGCTGACAGATCTAGAAGAATCAGCAGCCCCGACCCGCCTCGATCCAGCTGTCTACGAAGATCATCTGTTAGGGCGACCAGAGCCGTCTCGGTCCCATGACCAGCGCGGAAGCCGGACTGGAATGGATCCAGAGCCGATGTTTCATCCAGAAACCTACCAAGCTGTTCAGCAACCGCTCTCTCAATCACCTTACCCAGGAATGGAAGATTCGAAACTGGGCGGTAATTGGATAGATCTAAGGGATCTAATGATGTTTTCTTTAAGAGCGGACGCACCACTGCCTCCTTCAGTTCCCCTGGGAATGTCCCGGTGCCAAGGGACAAATTGATGATATCCCCCAGGGGGGCCCGCACCTCGTCTGGACATGCTCTAATCAGCCAAGACGGGCACGGGTCGAGAGGACAAGTGGTGGGCTTTCCAGCTCGGAGGAGTCTGTCCACATCGGCTGGGGATATCCGGTCAAAGTGGTCCAATACTGGACCCGAGGACAGTCGAGGGGCCTCCAGTTCCTTTATTGTATCCAAATTGGCAGGGAGGTCATGGCGGAGCGACAGGACCTTCTCCGCAAAAAAGCTCGCAAATGCCTCACAGCTGTGTGTCGAATTGTTATTTAAATTTGGCTGTCCTTCGAGGGACGTTAAAGACCGAATTATACTAAATAATTGTGCCGGGCGAGAGCTAGCGGATGCAATGGAGGCCGAGAAGTAGGACTTCTTAGCGGCCTTCACTGCCATCTCGTAGGTTTTCATAAAAACCCTATAAGATGTTCTTGAGGCTCCGTCACGGGCACCCCGCCATACTCGCTCTAGCCGTCTGAGGTCCCGCTTCATTTTCCAGAGCTCCTCAGTAAACCAGGGAGCCCGGTTTCTGCGGGGTCGCAGAGGGCGCTTAGGTGCGATCTCATTGATGGCTGCCAGGAGCTGGGTATTCCAGCCCTCAACAAGCTCAGTCAATGAGTCGCCAGGGGGAGAAAGGTCCCGCAAGGCTTGACGGAATCTATCAGGGTCCATCAGCCTCCGCGGGCGAGCCCAAATCGGCTCGCCACCTAAGCAGGGTGGGGGTGGAACGTCAATCCTGGCTTTCAGAGCGTAGTGATCAGACCATGGCACCTTCATCGAAGGAAACATGATCACATCTATACCTACGCCAAAGATCAGATCCAGCGTGTGGCCTGCTTGATGTGTGGCGCCCGAAACAAACTGGGAGAGCCCTAGTGTCGCCATGGAAGACACCAGGTCCAGAGCCTGTGAGGAGGGAGTGGCATCGGCATGGATGTTGAAGTCCCCCAATACCAATAGGTTAGGGAACTCCAAGGCCCAGCCGGCCACCGCCTCCAGCAGGCCTGACAGGGTGGCTGCTGGTGCGCTAGGTGGCCGGTACACCAGCCAGACAGCCAAGCTCACCTCGGAGCCCCACACTAGGCCAACACATTCAATGCCGGGGATCGATGGCGGTGGTAGAGCCCTGAAAGAACAATCTTCCCGGATTAATAGTGCCACCCCTCCCCCCCGGCCCACAGTCCGTGACTGGTGGAGGACGGAAAAACCCGGGGGCGCCATCTCTCGTAAGGTAACAGTATCCCCTTCGCGCACCCAGGTCTCCGTCACACAAGCCAGGTCGACCCCCTGCGAGATGATGAAATCTCGCAGGGTGGCGGTTTTGTTGCCTATAGACCTGGCATTGCACAACACCAGTGACGGAGGTGAGTAATCCTTGCTCACCCTACCCTCGTCTCTCGGGATGAGGCGCAGATTGGAAGGGGTACGAGCATATCCGTATCTCGATCCCCTTCGCCTATGACATCTGCCCCCACCGCCATACCTCCCTCGCCCCTCCACAGTAGGAATCCCAAGCCTCATACTCGCCTCCATTTACAAAATATAAAAGCAAACAAACAAACAAAGAAACAATTACCCCAAAACAAAACCAATCCCCACCCCACTCAACAACCATCCCAACCCAAAATAAAACAAAACAAAATAAAAATACATGGATAAAAACCACCGTTTCTGGTGATACAACAAAGGCCACTGAAGCATCACTCTACTGGCAGGATGACACTTACACTATTGGAAACACCTTGGAGCGCCAGGAAAAACTTTTCTGGGTGTGGATGCCCCACCAGCAATGTTCCACTGGTGCAGAGGGTCAAAATGGGGCATTCTGGGAGCAGCTATGGATTCACAGGTTGCTAAGCCTCCTTCCCCTGATGTGCCTCCTACAAAGGTCTGAAGCTACAACAGCACTGAGACTGGTATAGTAATTTCCCCTCACTGAGGTCAATGGGCAGGAAAAACAATCTTGGGGGAGCTTTGCTGAGAAAGAGGCCAATAACTATTTTAATTAATGACTTATTTATTTTTTAATGGAGGGTTCGTGCCTTAGGTGGAGCAAACCAACAGAGCTATGGATGTGGTGGTGGTTCTACATGGAAGCACAGATGCACTGCTTTTGCCGAGAACAACCTGCACATACAGAACTCAATATCTGTTTGGCACCTTTAAGGAACTTTCCACAACCTGCTCTCTACACATGCA